TTGTCAAAAGTCCAAGGTGCTAAGTTTTCATAATACATACCATTACTAGGGAGTGCGCAGTGCGAACATATCATAACACGGTGTAAGGACGGACACATATATCAATGCACTTACACTAAAAACCTGTTTCACTTTACAACATTGTTGAATTCAACAAAATATTGAAACAAGCGAAATACATTATCACCTTCGCAGTTATCACAAACAAACAACCTAATTCAGGGGGTTTGAGTACACAAATATCGAATATAACAAACAGAATATTGTTTTTCTGCAATGAAAACTAATGAAGCACGCTACTGTAGAATTCTGTTTGTAATCTTCATAACACAACAACATAATTTGTAAATAAAATAAAAATTTTATGAAATAAAATTATTATAATAAAAATTGTATGCAACTTCATTTGATGACATTGCATATGATGATAAAAAAAAACAATGAAAAGAGAAATTGACAGCAGTAATTTATTTTTTTAAGATTAAAAGAGATTATGATTGTTATTTACAACTGAAAAGCCTCGATGACATGGGGCGAGTTAGCAAGCTACAATGGTAAAAAAACCGATGTCATCGAGGCTTTATGTAAAATACCGTATCGTTTTTTTCAATTCGAAGTAAAATATGATTGAATTTAAAGCTGTATAACTGCTGCCATACACACGTTTTTTCACCCCGCGTTTACACCAAGAGACAAGACATATACTAGTTTTACACAAAACTTATAGAAGAATAGAATACTTGTGACATGCATAGACAACGAATATCTTTACAAGCATAAATTACCGTTTACTACACATATTTTGTGTATTCAACAAGTTTGATGCAAGTACACAAACATTGTACACATACTCCAAAAAATTAAGAAATTGTAATAAAAAAATATATACATGTATTATAGCTTGGTGCAAACGAGGTGTGAGAATAAATCACCTGACAAAACTCTTACGCCACATGATTAAGCCAATAGTAGTATCGGGCCTATATTATACGCAAAGATGTCTTGTCAATATTATTTTTAGCAATACTGTTTTTCTGTGCTAAACTTAACGGTGGCTGTGAAGTTAGTAGCGACTGCAACTTCGCGTTGGTATAGTTAAGTAACCGCTCACAACTAAATTTCATGTGCTACTGCACTGCGATTTGTGCCAACACAGTCACCATTAAGTTTGCATTGAAATCGGAGTAGCACAGAGCACCCCCCACAACATGAGTAAATAAAGAAGGCACTCAGACAAAGATTGTGTAATAGGCTAGTTGACTCATGTCGAATTGTATTAATTAAATGTTTATTTCTTAAAGTATTTGGTCTAAGGAACCTAAATATATCGATTTCACTTCATAAAAGCAGAAGATTGCTGTAGAAATTTAATTTAAAAATATACATATTAGTCTATATTTTTAAACACTAAAAACGCTGTTCGCCACATCCGCCATCCGTCTCTTGCAGTAAGCAACTAAATGTCATTCGCGTGTTACTGTGGGTGGATTCTTTCGTCTGACTAAATTTCTCTTAAAACACTTTTTACTTTAGAAAAGTTTCCGTTTACTGTTATTTTTGGACAAAACTAATTATGGATGCCGGCTTTGTGAAATCAGAAAGCACAAATCTGCCAAGAATTGACGCATTGATGGTTTTTGCACTAAGCCTCGATTTCTGCTCTGCGGAGCAGAGAAAAGACAAGGCATCTATGTAAGTACAGTGCATTTAGTATTACGTAGTAATAAACATAAAACTGATACAACATATGAATAAGTGCAATAAAGTTGCAAGTTAATTTCTTTCGGCCCTTTAATCCACAACTTTCCTGGAGTCTTCAAGGATGTGTATTTATATTCTCGTACAATACAATAATGATAATTACTTTATTTTTTGTGGTATTTATTAGAAATCATGTTCTTTTTATTATAAACTCAGATAAGTTATTTTCTACGTGCTTACGAGTTTTTGCTTACTACAGTTGACGTCATAGCATAGATAATCTATAGACTAAAATGGCCGACAGCGTTTTTTTATGTCTATGAAAAGTGTATTTGAAAATTAAAGATTTGTAGCTTTCTAGGTCTCAAAAAATACAATTTTTTTTTCGGTCTAATAGAACATGCATTAACCATTTAAAACCTTTTTGCAAAAAGGGTCAACTAGCCTATTGGGCACCGGCGCTTGTCGCGTACGCAGAAACGTTTCTATTGACAGCGACAGACTACCAGTGTTCACCCTCACACGAAGTTTGAAGTTTTGCCTCTGTAGCTTATTTACTCATGTGCCCCCCCTAAAGACCGCATACAATAGGGGTGATGACGGGGTACAGTAAACAAAATTCTATTTAGTCCGTCAGTTAGATGATCAAAAAATAATGGACACGTATTTTTTCTTTTTGCAATCAACCAAAAAATGACAAAGTTATAGCGCGTCAAAGTTTGGGAGTATGGGCTCGTGACGTCACTTTTGAGTGAATATTCCCTTATAAGTGTACTCAAACGTGACGTCATGCGACTTTTCAAATCAATATATCTCTGCAATGTTTATATTTGGTGAAAAAAGAAAAAATACGTCTCGAATACTTTTTGATCTACCTGATAAACGAAGAAAAAAAAATTAGTCATCATCCCTATTAGCGTGTGACACGCCCCCAAACATGGACGAACGGGGATATATCTTTCATTAAAGTCAACCCACCATGATGTCAAAATATCGCGTCAAATTAAAACGTGGCTAACCCTCCCCACATGCCATAAACTTTAGCGATTTCGATTTTAAACAAAAATTGGGTAAGGCAGTCTGGTGTTGGGGTGTCTATGCAAAGTAGAAATGGTAGTGTTAGTAGTGTTTACTGTATTGGAGTATATTATGTTAACTTTACGAGTGTGATATTTTTAAGTAAGAGAGTAATATTTGAGCGTAGTACTTGAGGTATTTATGAATTGTTTAATTTCTCGTATGTGTGTTTAGTATATATGAACAGAATTTCACTGTTACTAATTCGAGGTGTGTAAAATTATTTGCCCATGCCGATAAATAGTGAATTTAGTGTAAATTTGTTGGCCTTTGGAAAACACCGCGGGGCACAGCTAGTATTTTAATATAAGTAGTCTTAAATAGTTCAAACTATGTGTATATGGATGACAGTATGACGTATGTAAATAGTAGTGTTTACGTGATGTAGTTTAGTGTGTATAGGTATCAGAGCTGAATCTGTGTATGGGCTGCCTTAAGGCCGTAAAACTGTGTCTGAACGTTTAGTACGAGTTCAAATGGTTATTGTTTGTCAAACTATGTGTATTCTCTACAAATGTATGACAGTCTTATGTAGGCGAATGGCAGTGTTTATGTATGATGTCGGCACTACCACTTGCCTATACGTGTTTGCTATTTGTAAACTTGACCACAGTTTGTTTTAATCATGCTTTCCAAAGAATGATAAGGATTGATTGAATCCAAGATTTTATATTGCAATCACGAATAGCCAAATGAAGTGGCGGTATGATAGTCTTGTGTAGGCAAATAGGGATGATGACTAATTGTTTTTTCTTCGTTTATCAGGTAGATTATCAAAAAGTATTGGACAAGTATTTTTTCTTTTTTCACATAATATGAACATTGCAGAGATATATTGATTTGAAAAGTCGCATGACGTCACGTTTGAGTACACTTGTTGCGAATTCTTGTGTAAATAGCCTTTTGTTAATATTCTCTTTTGTACATATTTATTGTTTTATAATCTTTTTGGTTTAAATGTAAGAAGTAATCTTTGTTTTGTTAATCACTAATAATATTGTCTTTTCTTTTTTTTGCACATTATATATGTCAGCACTGGATTGAGCACTACTTATTTTCTTCTCTCCTTTTAAGCTCTCGAAATTTCCTTCACAACACTTTTAAGTGAAAATTCACTCACAAGTGACGTCACGAGCCCCCACTCCCAAACTTTGACGCGCTATAACTTTGTCATTTTCCGATTGACTGCCCAAAGAAAAAAAACGTGTCCATTATTTTTTTAACATCTAACTGACGGACTAAATAGAATTTCGTTTGCTGTACCCCGTCATCACCCCTATTGCAGCAGTTGGGTCTATAATGTTACAGACTTTTCCCGTTGTGTCATATATAGTTTTGGAGTGTCTCATCTCAATAGATGATCCCAAAAAGTATTCACTTGCAACTGTGCAATCAATATGAAAAAAAAAATGTGCTTAAATTTTTTGGTCTTACTCAGTTTTTGTAGGGGTGCCTATTGTAGTGTTTACGTGTAGAAGTTCCATGTACAGTAAAACGCCGATTATCCGAATCAATTGGGACCGGGGTCGATTCGGATAATCGAAAATTCGGAGAATCGGACATAGACTCGTAATAAAGAAAAACGAACTGTCACACATAGAATAAACCTTATTAAGTTTAACAAACACAGTTCTACAGAACTAAATACAATAATAGAGGTGCATATAATAGTAGCAAAAAAAAAACCGCGCGACGCAAAACTCGTAGTGTCTTGCCTCTAGCTTTCAACCATAATAGTTGGAATATATCTGGATTCCAGCGAGTTCCAACTTGTTACAACCAAACAAAACAAAAATAAGTTGGTTTTAATTTTTTTATTTTATGCTTAGATAATAAATAATAATAATAATAAATATTTCCAACACGCACACCTATTAGCCTAGCCCCAATGTAAGCACTATAAGGCTTGTGTTATGGGATACTAGGGTAACGAATAGAATACATATACTGTACATATATAAGTATATTTATATAGAAATACATATTAAACATCCATGACTGGAGTACAAATGCACGTATTCATCACACGAACATCTGCCCCCACCGGGATTCGAACCCGGGACCTCTCGAGTCGGCAACACCATGAAACCCGGCGTACAAACCACTCGGCCACGGAGGTCGTCATAATTAACAAAAATAAGTTGGTTTTAATTTTTTTTTTATTTTATGCTTAGATCCGATTCGGATAATAGGAGATTCGGTACATGTGTAGAACAACTCACCTCGGCCTTATGTTTGAGCAGCGCCCGTACAGTGTGAGCCAGATGCGGCATCAGCAGCGCCCGCGCCGCCGGGTGCCAGCACAGCGGGCCGCGCACCAGCTCCAGCAGCGCCAGCATACGCTGCTTGCCCAGCCGTCCCAGCGGTAGCGCTTCCAGCGAGCGCACTATATACGCGCTGCAATAATCAATAATAATCAATAATCAAAATCATTTGACGACCTCCGTGGCCGAGTGGTATGTACGCCAGTTTCATGGTGTCGCCGACTCGAGAGGTCCCGGGTTCGAATCCCGGTGGGGACAGATGTTTGTGTGATGAATACGTGCATTTGTACTCCAGTCATGGATGTTTAATATGTATTTTTCTATATAAATATACTTATATATGTACAGTATATGTATTTTATCCGTTACCCTAGTATCCCATAACACAAGCCTTATAGTGCTTACTTTGGGGCTAGGCTAATTGGTGTGTGTGTTGGAAATATTTATTTATTTATTATTTATTTATTTATTCAGTTTAGGCTGTTACAAGCACATATGAATGTCTAGACGCTACGCCATCGGTTCGTAAATCTACGGCGGGAGACCTTGTACTGAGAAGAACCGGCAAGAAACTCAGCAAGGGCTGTTTTTTTTCTCCCTGTTTTATCATTTACAGAGTCGTCAAGTTGAAAAATTACTTCAGAGATGATTCATGAAGTCACCCTTCATTACATAATGTGAAATTATACATTAATTGTACACCTGCATTTTGATTGCTGTGTCACAGAGTATAAATACAAACAGAGTTATTTATAATAGGTGTAATTAAACATTTATATCTTAAATATCAAAGTAGTTAGGGCAGACTCATCTCCGCTGGCAGCACCCGTTCACGAGCATGACGAGCATGACAATAAAACCCCTTATAGTACGATGGTACTGGACACAGTGGTAGATGCGTGCAATGGTACCAACTTAGAGACAGAAAATTAACAAGTGTTTTTTTCTTTAAGTTGGCATTGATCGAAATGTTTTATTTATATGTTATCGTTAGTAATATTATTTATTGTTGAAAAATTATTAAAGCTTTCGTTTCATTAAATAGTTTTTTTTTAAATAATCAAAGTTCATTCAAACTGTTAAAAAATAAATATAAATATGGATGAAGGTACAAACATTGACTTTTTTTTTCAACACTGAACTTAGCGCACTCTGCTGGTGCATTTGAAAACTAATTCACGTTCCAATTAAGCATTAGCATAATTGGGCATTGTGCGGCACTGAGTCGCATTATGCTCTGTAATTGAATATAAATAACACTATTTGTATTTATACTGTATGACACAGCAATCAAAATGCAGGTAAACAATTAATGTATATTTAATAATTATGTAATGAAAAGTGACTTCATGAATCACCTTTGAAGTCATTTTTCAATTTGACGACTCTGTAAATAATAAAACAGGGAGAAAAAAACAGCCCTTGCTGAGTTTCTTGCCGGTTCTTCTCAGTACAAGGTCTCCCGCCGTAGATTTACGAACCGATGGCGTAGCTTCTAGACATTCATATGTGCTTGTAACAGCCTAAACTGAATAAATGATTTTGATTGATTGATTGATTGATTGGAAAGCATACTTTTACTGCCTTATTCAGTATTCACATTCCAGCACATACACGCATATGCACCATACACACAAACGCATCACATTATCCACACAAACGCATCACATTATCCATAGTGACGACCTCCGTGGCCGAGTGGTTTGTACGCCGGGTTTCATGGCGTCGCCGACTCGAGAGGTCCCGGGTTCGAATCCCGGTGGGGGCAGATGTTTGTGTGAACACGAGCATTTGTACTCCAGTCATGGATGTTTAATATGTATTTCTATATAAATATACTTATATATGTAAAGTATATTGTATTCTATCCGTTACCCTAGTATCCCGTAACACAAGCCTTATAGTGTGCTTACTTTGGGGCTAGGCTAACTGGTGTGAGTGTTGGAAATATTTATTTATTTATATTTATTATCCCTTATTGTATCGTGATCGTATCCCTATTTACTTTGCACCTAGCATCTCGACATTTTCATTCCCATGACGTTTAATTTGGCAATTATTCATGGAAGAAAATAATGGCTAAGTATGCACACAAACATACAAGCCGTCTACCTGGGTGGGTATATTAGGGACTCATTCGAATAAAATCGATATCGCCCATCGTATGTGATCTGCGTGTGCGCACCGCACTAGCGATGCGCTCGTATCTGCACTGCAATTGTTGAATGCGGTGGTTGGTGTCTTACGAATTTTCGTATATTAGATATGTGATTAGAAAAGCTATAATTTTGTGAATTATTACGTGTGCGATCTCCTGTGAAATACCACAAAAATACTGTGCAGTGTTTTCTAGTGTATCTTGGAACTGAGGGACATTCGTTCGAGGGAATAAGGTAAGGCGGCTAATATATTCCTTATTTTCTGTCTGTGTGATTGCTCTTTTATACGTCTTGGGAATTCATTTTTCATTTTAATTTCCAACCCCTAATGTTGCGGATATAGCCGGTCTCGCTACACTTATACCGTAGCTCACCTGAGCTCAGCGGGCGGGCATACGGCCAGCGCGTGAGGAACCGCGGCCGGAAGGAACTTGAGCGCTGACCCCTGACAAGTGAGAGCGTGCTCTTCTCTGCGCATCAACCACACAAGCGCCTCCAGCAGACTCTGTACAAAAAACAATGGATGCGTGTAACTTATGTACGCGCGTGAGAAGTTATACTTCTTTAGCATCATTAAAATATATTTTTAATTGCATGCAAATAATTAATAATTACAATAAAATAATAAGAGGACTGGAAAAGGATAGTTAACACAGTCAATTAAGTTCAGTTTTAATTTGAAAAATTAAATAAATATTCAAAATATTCAAATTAAATCACTACTGAATTTAAGTTATTAGTCCATATGTAATTAGCACTTGTAAGTAACTAAAACACGTTGTGTTCTTGACCTTCACAAGTGCTTGTAACAGCCTAGAAAATGAATAAATGTCATTTCATTTCATTTCATTTCAATGTCCCGTTCAAATTTGCCCTGTTTGCTTTGTTCAAATCTGCCCCACGGTCACTTGGAAAATAAAATATTACAAATAACGCGCTCGCGGCTAACTTCATTATGTTAAAATTTTGTGTTACAGTGATGAAAATTTCACTCTCATAATTTTTTCATAACGCGGCTAAAGAAGTATAACTTCAAAAACAATGAAAAGAAAATTTGACAGCAGTAATTTGTATTTTTAAGATTAAAAGAGATTATGATTGTTATTTACAAATGAAAAGCCTCGATGACATGGGGCGAGTTAGCAAGCTACAATGGTAAAAAAACGATGTCATCGAGGCTTTATGTAAAATACCGTATCGTTATATATATATTTTCAATTCGAAGTAAAATATGATTGAAGTTAAAGCTGTATTACTGCTGCCATACACACCTTTTTTCACCCCGCGTTTACACCAAGAGACAAGACATATACTAGTTTTACACAAAACTTATAGAAGAATAGAATACTTGTGACATGCATAGACAACGAATATCTTTACAAGCATAAATTACCGTTTACTACACATATTTTGTGTATTCAACAAGTTTGATGCAAGTACACAAACATTGTACACATACTCCAAAAAATTTGGAAATTGTAATAAAAAAACGACAGTGACGTTATACAGTAGAATCCGTCTATTATGACTTCCAAGGGAATCGACAAACATGTAATACTAAGCGGACGTGATACAAATAGTACAGTCATTTGGTGAGAAATATAGTGGTTATCTATCTGGAAAGTTTTCCGGGAGTTTTGAAAATTGGTAATTTTATAAATTTTGAGGTGCTCTTTCCGAATTTTGACTTTGCCACCTCGTATTTTTGCCGCTCGCGTCGCCATATTAGAAAAATGGCGCCTAAAAGCAGTTTTTTGACAATATCTCCTTTCCAACTCATTTTACGATAAAAACAGTTATGTACAAAATAAAACTAGAGACAATTGCCTACAATTTATGTAACTACCTATTTTTTCATAAAGTCAATAGTTTTGGCGTACGAGCGACGCAAAGTCTAACGCACATTTTGGCCAAAAACTCATTTCCACACCATCTTGAGTTAGAGTAAGTGGCACGTTTTTTTTTAATGTGGTATCCCCAATAGACCTAATCCACATGCAATTCAATGTGCTGAAATTTAGCGTACTCTCCTTTGCTTTGTTGTTTTCGATGGACCAGGTGTTGAAATTCATCGTCTGTAGTACCAATCGAAACGCCACAGACCGGTATTTCATCTACATCATGGGTCTATTATAGAATAATATAATATCTATAGTCAGTATAGTTTAGATTTACATTAATTTTATAACTCGCAAATCTAATGAGTTGAAATTAAAAGCCACAGGTTGCATGAATAGTGAGTAATGACCAAAGCGCGCGTTGGAGTACACTTTGTGGCGCTCGTACGCCTAAACTATTGACCTAAAGAAAAAAAAGGTTCATATAAATTGTAGGCAAATGTCTGTAGTTTCATTTGGTATACAATTGTTTTTATCGTAAAATGAGTTGGAAAGGAGATATTGTCATAAAACGGCTTTTAGGCGCCATTTTTCCAATATGGTGGCGCGAGCGGCAAAAATACGAGGTGGCAAAGTCTAAATTCGGAAAGACCACATCAAAATCTATAAAATTACCAATTTTTAAAACTCCCGGAAAACTTTCCAGGTAAAACTACCAAATGACTGTACTAAAAGCATTTTTCTGAAAAAAATATTATGAGATGAGTTTGATTCTCCATTTTCGAATCAGCATAATATTATTGCACCTTTTTCTTCAGTCGTAAATGCTTTACGACTTTGAGACGACATTTCTTTAACATAGGATATCACTAAAAACAATGCGAACAATGTTCAAATGTAAATTTACTCATGAGATTCAAAACGAAAACGAGTCACGTGCCGAACGTTGTCGGGTATCAACGAACATTACCGTAGGTGTAAAGAACAATGTCGGTCACTATGAACGGACAAAAATTATTAAAAATTGGTCATAATAAACAACATGTCACTATAAGCGAAGTCATTATATCCGACATTGTTACAATGAATTTTATATGAAAACCAAACTTCGTTGTGTAATGAGGGCTACCGTTTTCTGCCTCACCGGATGGCGCCACTGTTGAGTGAGGTCCTAAATTGTAACTTTTAAAGTTTATTAATACGCACATGAAATCAAAGGTTACATTTAGATCGTATTTTAACACAAAAGAACCATATCCTAAACATAATAAAGGCCATGCCACAGTGACGCGCAGTTCCGTTTTATTCGGAAAAATGGGAACATAATCATTTTTCTAAGCTCTAATTTTTAATAACTGACATTCATTGCCACATAACTCATATTTGCCATAATTAAGCCGAATTGTTACCAATTATTCACAACATTATTTTAATTAGAAATAAACCCGCGTAGTCAACCAACAAGCAATAACATTTGACATTTCGGAGACCTCACGCTACACTAGCGCCTCTAGCGGCGGATTCATACGCGATAGCCCTCATTACGTCATAATAGGCGGTTGGTCAATATAGGCAGAGTCATAATAAACGGATTCTACTGTATCAACAAGATTTTTTCATTTCAAATACTAACCTCGAATCTCTTAGTGAAGTCGGCATCGGCAGCACTATCTCCTAAAGCACTCCTCAACTGGCGACTCCGCACTATGATGCGGACCAAACTCTCCACGCACTTCATGCAAACGAGCAGTCTTTTCAAAGCAGCCTCACCGCTGTCGGCCATCTTTATCACCCACACAATCACCGCGATTAAGTTCCTGCGGTGAAAGAACATTTATTTATTTATTAAAGGTCTGCCAACACTTTTACACCTTAACTTACATAATCACACTTATATGTAACAATTTTCAGCATAGTGCAAAAACAATTACTGGCAAACTCAACATGAACAAAAAAAAACGGAAATACATCTTTATATATATAATTCTTCTGTGAGTGTGTATGTCACTGAACTTCTCTTAAACGACTGGACCGATTTTGATGAAATTTTTTGTGTGTGTTCAAGGGGATCTGAGAATGGTTTAGATTCACAATTTTGTCCGCTGGACAACCCCTATATTTTTAGGGCGGTACGAAGTTCGCTGGGTCAGCTAGTATATATATAAAGTATTACACTGGCATTATAACTAAAGGATATTTAATATAATTCTTACATTCGTCTATTCGCCTGTAACAACCAACTCACCACACCAATATCATAAATAACCATTGCATATTCAAGAAATTTAAACTATACTAAAAACTAAAACAAAAATGCATTAAAACACTAAGTTAAATGGAATATATATTAAATTAAATTTGAATTTGGCTTATAGTTGGGGTTCTTATCAGATACAGTAATTTTCGAAAACGTAACAAAGAAAGAGCATACAAGTCAATCGATCTACAAAACCTATTATGTTCGTCGCACAGTCTATTGAGCACACTATGGTGTCGATTCTGGTATGATTCTCTAAAGCTAAACTTAAATTTGACAATAGTGTATCCCTGTCATTCTCTATACGGAATGAGAAGGACAGGCTAATGTTAAATTTATTTTTAAGTTTAGAGAATCCTGTCAGAATCGACACCTATGTGCGCCTAACTTAGTTCTAAAAAATTTCAATGAAAAGGGTTTAAAATTTACCATTCTGGTGTTTGGTCGAGGTATTTTAAATTTCACATTACTTAATAATTTAGGGCACTCTGCTACACTGTTTACAATTTTATACAACAAGACCTGGTCGGCCACCCACCTTGTCTTTGCTAATCCTAATCAGATTTGCAGAAAAAAACTTTTTATACTCTTTATTATATGAAAATATTACAAGTATACAACGTAAAATAAGTATTAAGTAAAGGTTGCCTGACAGAATGAGAATCGTTAATAGGTCAGCAAATCAACTCAAATCAATTTTGTATACTTTTTAAATCACCGAAATCGGTTCATTCGTTGCGATTCTATAACTAATATTATGGGTAGTCAAAATTCACCGGCGCGGCCGAAACGTGTGACGTCACAAAGCTCGATCGTGGTTCACTCCGGTCGAACTTCAGTAGCGTCTCTGCACGCTCGCGCCCGAGCGCTAGAGCTCTGTGACGTCACAGCCACTACGCGGCCAGCCGAAAATTCGTTTAGTAATCTGGTCATAACTTCGTCAATATTTGTCGTAGAACAAAAATTTAACCACTGTATTTTATGGGATCCTTAGCTCTATAAATCTGCATTCTCAACTAAGTCATTACAGATCCTCATTAAATCAAACAGTGGTATATTAATTAACCTTTTTGTCGTGGCTAATGCTCAAATTGTGCAAGTCAAAAAAACGGTATATAATACTTACTTGAGGAGCTCGATGGCGCAAGTGGTTAGCGCGTTCGGCTGAGATCGTTGAAGTTAAGCAACTTTCGCAGTGTTCGGTCATTGAATGGGTGACCAAAAATTTACTATCTCGAGCTCCTCCGTGCTTCGGAAGGCACGTTAAGACGTCGGCCCCGGCTGCATCTGCAGTCGTTAAATTAAAATCCGCACTGGGTCATGGCGCTAACTCCTTATTCCATCCATAGGGAAGGCCTGTGCCCCAGCAGTGGGGACATAATTACGCTGATAATGAAAATACTTACTCATATGCTAACGCGTCGCAGAAGCTCTCGTTGATGTAAACGTGCAGTACGGGCTGGAAATGTTGATATTTGTGATCGGCGACTAATGATATGACTCGAAGCAAACATTCCAATACGAGAACGCCGTAGCTGCGATCGCTGTAGCAAGGCTGGTCTTCTTCCACCTTTTACAAGGAGAAAATATGTTGAGTTTTATATACAGGGTGTTACAAAAATACAAATAAAGCTTGAAGGGCGTTGAAGTACATCATATAAGGAGTTTTTTCTAATTTTCTTAAAATATTTGCATGAAGTTTTAACTTTTTATAAAAACAGTTATTTTTAATGATTAATAAAAAATATCGATCATTTTAAGATACATCACTAGTTCGAGGATCATTAAAAATATCTGTTTTTATAAAAAAACAAAATTTCATGCAAATATTTTATGGAAATTAGAGAAGACACCTTATATGATGTACTTCAACGCCCTTCAAGCTTTATTTATATTTTTGTAACAACCTGTACATTTTAAAGGGTTTTCTTTCTTCTTTCTTTCTTGATGTGATCCTTCGAGCAGATTTGTTTACTATCGAAACCATAAATAATAGATATAGCAAGTCAATTATGAAATAGGTCAGTGCCCCATATCTTGAGTATTGTATTTTTGATCTTTGTAAAATATCCTCATGATGCTATCAATTATTCTTTAAGTCACAAAAATATGTCAAACATCCCTCAAACATAAACACTACATCGAGTCCATTGCTAAAACCGCTGCCAGAAAACTTGGAATACTTTCTAAGGTCAGGCGATATTTTACATCTGAGCAGCTCCTTAACCTTTACCGAGCCCAAGTTCGCTCCTGCTTGGAGTACTGTTGTCACCTTTGGGACGGATCTGCTCATAATCAGCTGGATGCACTGGACTCGGTGGAACACCGTGCGAAGAGACTCATAGGCAATGACGCTCTCGTTGAGGCTAATCTTCAGAGCCTCGACCACCGAAGACGTGTAGCTTGCCTTTCGGTGTTTTATCGGTTACATTTCGGAGAGTGTGCGGAGGTATTACATAATTTGATCCCCCCTTCCCCTTTCCACCACCGGACGACCAGGCGCGGCGAGGGCTTCCACCCTTATGTTGTCGAAGTTCCTCCTATTCGCACGAAGCGATTTGCTTCGGCCTTCATTATACGAACGGCTAGGGAGTGGAACTCCTTGCCGAGGTCTGTTTTCCCGGACCAATATAACCTGGTCATCTTCAAGGCCAGAGTGAACAGGCATCTTCTAGGCAGGCGTGTACCATCCTAGGCCTCATCATCGCTTTCCATCAGGTGAGATTGTGGTCAAACGCATTGCCTATTTAGCATAAAAAAAAAAAAAAAAAAAAAAAAAAAAAAACATTAATTGTCAAAATTTTACATCTATAAAAATTACGAGTAAATAGGTTCGATTTAGTTAAACTATAAAGTTCATGTCCACTGTTAAAATAAATGAGAAATTGTGTATGTCTGTCATTCTGTCTAGCTGTTAGCTCTTTACGCTTAATCTGCTAAACTGATTTAGATAAAATTTGGTATAGTTAGTTTGAGACTCGGCAAAGGCATGGGATAGTTTGGTCACTAAAATTATTCTTAAAGGGTCCACTCCACCCTTTTAATCTGTATGGAAAATCAATTAAGCCACGCACACGAAGTCGGAAACACCAGCTAGTACTGTAATGTTATATCCACAAATATAGAATACTAGCAAACCAGTGAACCAAATATTCACCAAAACCTGATTTAAAAAAAATGTATTCAATTAATTGAGAACTTCGGAGATTTTGTGTGGTTTCGTTTGAAATTCGTGATTTCTCGAAAACCGGAAGTGCTGCGTTACTCAAATCCGGTTTGTAGTCTTATCAGACTATTCTTAACTTATAACTTAAATATTCTCTTTATCTATCTCTTACGGTTTGGCCGCTGAAACAGCACCACAGACGGACGGACGGACTTGTCTAATAGATAAGAGATAAAGATAGACAGCGTATCTATCTCAACTGTTCCAAAAAACGAGTGTGCTTATGACTACACGACTGAACTAAAACTTCTTTAGCTTCATCTGTATGTACAAGTATATAATATGTGTGTGTGTGTACAATATATACATGTATGTACATATACATATTTCATTTACTAGCTATAAGAGAAAGAGAGAAAGAAAATGTGCGCGGGCACTGCTTTCTCTTGCTTATATCCCCCACTCCACTCCCGTGCGCCTCGCCCGAACACACTATTCGTAACGCGTAGCGAATTCGCCAGCTTACCCCTCAAGTCCAGCGTGCGTAAATAAGTTACACTACAAAATTGAATTGTGCATGGTTCGGTGTTTGATTGTGAGTGACAGTGTAGTTTTGTCAAGATATGCTTTTAACACTGGACACATTTATAACACAAACTGACTGCTATAAGCACAGTTGTTTTAAATAAAACTAGTTTTTACGGGTTAATGCACGAAACTTTATTTATTTATTGACGTTTCGTTTGTGTCAACATGCATTAGGGGGACCAAACCACTACATTAGATTTGATAGACCACAGATCCTTGCAGCTGAGCGGCGGTTCGTTCCTCGAATGATGCGCGAGGCTATTGAGATTAAAAAATATCCTAATTTCAATAGGGAAGATGGTTGGTATATACCACCAGCTTGGGAACCTATTATACAGGAGATAAAATCCCAACCCCGAGCACACACTGCAAGACCATCAGATGCTATTAGTTCTTTTTGTTTGCATAATTTAACATAAGAAGGAGATAGAAAGCCTCTCTTGAGTTTGTTTCGCCGGTTCTTCTCAGAAAGGTCTCCCAATTTTGGAACGGGTGGTAGTTTACGGTAGTTAGGGTCAAATAAATAAACTCAAAATTACAAAAAAGAATTTGAAATAAAATACTTTATTAAGTAAATTAAATAATAAATTCATACATAGACAATAAAACTTAAAAATCGAACAATGAAATAACCAAACGCTCAATAAAAGTCTTTCGAAGGTAGCTCGTAGCTCGACAAATTAAATAAAAGTTTTATTCTGACGACGAAGCCTGTAAAGGCTACGAAACGTCAATTAATAAATAAAGTTTCGTGCATTAACCCGTAAAAACTAGTTTTATTTAATGAGTGATGTGCGTGAAAACTTAGAAACAAACACAGTTGTTTTCGTAGTATTTGAATATTGAATGTAAAATCTTTATATATATAATTCTTCTGTGAGTGTGTATGTCACTGAACTTCTCTTAAACGACTGGACCGATTTTGATGAAATTTTTTGTGGGTGTTCAAGGGGATCTGAGAATGGTTTAGATTCACAATTTTGTCCGCTGGACAACCCCTACTTTTTTAGGGCGGTACGAAGTTCGCTGGGTCAGCTAGTATTGTATAATATTTGAATGAGAAACGGCCTGGTAGTAGTAATTTTACCTGTAGATAATTTTTCAAAAGTTATTGTCACAAATACTCTCGAAACGTAACCGCGAAAATGCTAGAGATCGAATTTGCCAGATCACAGCGGGTCGCGATAGATGTCGAGTAATGCGGCTCATTCTAAAATGTGCCTTATGCAGTGCGGCGTAAGGGAGAAAGTGCAACGACATCTGCACTTGTTTACAAGTTATGCGCGTTACCTGCGTAGGTATAAGTAGGTACTTCGTACTCGCGGGTGCTAGCTAATTCTCAATTTAACAGGTACTTTCTAGAATGCGTCGATCGGCGTATATAAGCGCGATTGGTGCCGCGCAGAGACAGTTGAGTTTCAACAGCGATTTCGGAGCGAATCCAAAGGCGATCAAAGTGCAACAAAAGTGTTCAAGTGCGATTGTTTAGAGACTTGTACAGTGAAATACAGTGTTTAGTGCGTGATTTGTAACTAACATTGTGTGAACTGTGAGGTGAATAAAGAACTGTCAAGCGTGAACTGGCATATAATTTCGAACCCCATCCCGACACGTAACATTATATTAAAACTGGGGACCTTAGAAAAGAACCTTGCACTTACTGCCTTACATTTACTTGTTCAATTTGTTTTGATGATTGTTTCTCGCTATTTTGGGACTTAAAAAATTCTTTGATAATTTATTGTTACCTATTTGACATTATGTGATGGAAGTTGACCTCAACACATGTTTGAAAATTTGATGTCAACTTTCAATTTGACGACACTGTTTGAAATAAAACAGGGGGAAGAAAGCAGGCTTTGCTGAGTTTCTTGCCGGTCCTTCTCAGTACAAGGTCTCCTGCCGTAGTTTTGAGAACCAATGGAGTAGTTTTCGACTTTCACATGTGCTTGTAAAAGCCTAAACTGAATAAATAATTTTTGAATTGAATTGAATAGTTTCGCAGAATTTTAAAATAAACTTGACAGGTCGCTGTTGGTTCTCACTTCATTGTTCAAACATCATGTTGCGTCTCTTTCTACATTGTGGGATTATCGTAAGGGCATGATATCTCTTTTGCACACTCCGTCAGTCATTAAATAGTAAGTCTATGGTTTCATTCCTATGATTTAAAGTTATCTATGCCTGTGTGACAGTGTCTAGAGGAGCTCCATGGCGCAAAGGGTTAGCGCGTCCAGCTGCAATCGTTGAAGTTAAGCAACTTTCGCAGTGGTCAGTCATTGGATGGGTGACCAAAAATCCTCTATCTCGAGTTCCTCCATGCTTCGGAAGGCACGATAAGCCGTTGGTCCCGGCTGCATCTGCTGTCGTTAGCCCCTACCAATCCGCACTGGGCCCGCGTGGTGGGTCATGCCCCAATCTCCCTATTCCATCCATAGGGAAGGCCTGTACCCCAGCAGTGGGTACATTAATAGGCTGATGATGATTACCTGTGTGAGTATACTGAAGAGAGCATCCAGGATATCCTGCAGGAACTTGACCAGTTCCTCACTGGGCACTTGCAGCAGCCTCGTGAGGGCGGTACGTAAAGTGCCTTCAGCATGATGCGTACTCCACTTGAGAACTCCCAGTATTTCCTCTGGTAGAACAACATTCCAGATTAAAGGTCCACATCATGTATTGACAATATAAAAACAAGTAGACTCCCAATCGGATGGGTGACCAAAAATTTACTATCTCCCACTACCCCGTGCTTCGGGAGGCACGTTAAGCTGTTCGTCCCAGCCATCTACAATCTTTAGCACCTACCAATCAGCACTGGGCTCGTGTAGTGGGTCGTGCCCCAGCAGTCCACAGTGTGGTTTTTTTTCTAATAAAAATTTCTTTACATTGAACATCTAACAGGTAGATGCTTAAAATAAAAATATAACAAGGTCCAAATTAGTTTATTGTTTGTTTCTATTTTTCTTTTAGCTATTATAGTAAACAGTTATTTACTAGGTCAGCAAAGTTAAAAAAAAAAGTATAGTAATTTTGACCAAATGATTTGCTTTTATTTAATAGTTAAGTGTACGAAGAATCACAACATTAAAATTACATTTTAAAATCATAAAGCTTACAAGATAGTAAAACTAAAGTTTTGCGTCACCGAGGCGCAATGTAAAAATAATATGTAAAATTTTAAAGGAAAATAATATTAAACTACGAAATCCAGGGCATTAATCACCATTATTTAATAAAACGTGCATTTTACTGTTTCTTTCTGTATTTATCATGGCTGTTATTTCCGCAAAAATATGGTTAAAGAAAATAACATTTTGTAAAAAAACAACATATAAAAAATTCATACTCTTTACACATGTTTCAACGTCTATGATTTCTAATTGTGTGAACAATATACTAATTTTGATTAGATTAAGTTTACCCATTATTTTGGGGAATGTGGCCTATCCTGCTCACAATGCGTATGCATGCATAATAATCTTACGCATACGCACCGAGACACAAAGGAGGAGGACATTTTGCGAGTGTTATGTTATAATATATATATATGTATTGATTATTTACTGCGTCACCTTGTATACACTGCGATAAACACTGGCCAGGTTTTTTATACTTGTGTGCGTGACACGCAAAACCAACGAATCTTGTATCTAACACCTAAATGTCCTATATCGTCGTTCGTTCTTATTCTTCTATATTATATTATTCTTCTATCTTATTATTCTATATCGTTCGTTAGGATCGCTAAAACTCGAGAATGGTTGAACGGATTTATCTTATCTTGGTCTTGAAATGTACGTGGAGGTTTCAAAGGTGAGAAAAATAATTATATAAAGAAATTAATTGTGTATAATACAAGCCTGAGAACAAAAACTATAGTGTACCTACACTACAGCTCTACACCGAAGCGAAGCGAGAGCTGGCCATAGGGTATTTGACAAGTTTTAGAAAACGATCTCACGTTACTGACTAATGTTTATGGAGTCCGTAAAATTTCATCATTCTGTTGTGTATTTCAGTAAAAATAACCAAATCAAAAACTCCATTTTCAAGTTGCCGCGAAAACGTTTTTCTGGACAATATGGCGTCTTACTAATGTGTGACGTCACATGACTGTCATTAAAACGTCAAACGATACAAGGTAATGTCACCTTAACCAGAAGTTAACTTGCGTGTGAGATCATTTTAGGCTCCGCCAATCCCAAGCGTTTTGGCTCACGTGACAATAGATAAGAAAACTATTCTATTTTTCGTGGGTTTTTAATAAAAATATGAATATTTTTTTTGTATAAACAGAAAAAACCACTGCCAATATTCATTCTAAACACAGATGCTAACAATTGGCACTTTATTTTTAATACTGTCAAATACCCTATTCGTAGTATATAAATAATACACATAAATGAGGAGCTCGGTGGCGCAAGTGGTTAGCGCGTTCGGCTGCGATCGTTGAATTTAAGCAACTTTCGCAGTGGTCGGTCATTGGATGGGTGACCAAAAATCTTCTATCTCGAGTTCCTCCGTGCTTCGGAAGGCACGTTAAGCCGTTGGTCCCGGCTACATCTGCAGTCGTTAGCACCCGCCAATCCGCACTGGGCCCGCGTGGTGGATCATGGCCCAATCTCCCTATTCCATCCATAGGGAAGGCCTGTGCCCCAACAGGCTGATGATGATGATGATGACATAAAATAACAGTGTATTGGGCAATTACCTCTCTGCGTCAGTTTGGTAGAACACAGTTTAGTGGCTACAGTTAGCGTATCCTTATGTATGAGGGAGAGAGATCCCCGCGTCAGACCCCTTTCAGCGCCGGCCGGTAACTCGTCCCGTTTGGAAGGCAAACCGAGGCATAAAGCCGCCGCTTCTGCTTCTACATCTGCAGCCGTACCGCGTTTAGCGTCGATCTATTGTAAAAAATACATAAAAAATGGTCATCAATATGGGGAAATGTAACTACAGGCTATTATTCAATAATTTGAAGCCTTAAAGGCGTCTTTTAAGGGGTGAAACGAGACCATAAATAAAGGCAACCCGAGGCATAAAGCCGCCGCTTCTGCTTCTACATCTGCAGCCGTGCCGCGTTTAGCGTCGATCTATGGGGAAAAATACATAAAAAATGGTCATCAATATGGGGAAATGTAACTACAGGCTATTATTCAATAATTTGAAGCCTTAAAGGCGTCTTTTAAGGGGTGAAACGAGACCATAAATAAAGGCAACCCGAGGCATCATAAAGCCGCCGCTTCTGCTTCTACATCTGCAGCCGTGCCGCGTTTAGCGTCGATCTATGGGGAAAAATACATAAAAAATGGGCATCAATGTGGGGAAATGTAACTACAGGCTATTATTCAATAACTTGAAGCCTTAAAGGTGTCTTTTAAGGGGTGAAACGAGACCATAAATAAAGGCAACCCGAGGCATCATAAAGCCGCCGCTTCTGCTTCTACATCTGCAGCCGTGCCGCGTTTAGCGTCGATCTATGGGGAAAAATACATAAAAAATGGTCATCAATATGGGGAAATGTAACTACAGGCTATTATTCAATAATTTGAAGCCTTAAAGGCGTCTTTTAAGGGGTGAAACGAGACCATAAATAAAGGCAACCCGAGGCATCATAAAGCCGCCGCTTCTGCTTCTACATCTGCAGCCGTGCCGCGTTTAGCGTCGATCTATGGGGAAAAATACATAAAAAATGGGCATCAATGTGGGGAAATGTAACTACAGGCTATTATTCAATAACTTGAAGCCTTAAAGGTGTCTTTTAAGGGGTGAAACGAGACCATAAATAAAGGCAACCCGAGGCATCATAAAGCCGCCGCTTCTGCTTCTACATCTGCAGCCGTGCCGCGTTTAGCGTCGATCTATGGGGAAAAATACATAAAAAATGGTCATCAATATGGGGAAATGTAACTACAGGCTATTATTCAATAATTTGAAGCCTTAAAGGCGTCTTTTAAGGGGTGAAACGAGACCATAAATAAAGGCAACCCGAGGCATCATAAAGCCGCCGCTTCTGCTTCTACATCTGCAGCCGTGCCGCGTTTAGCGTCGATCTATGGGGAAAAATACATAAAAAATGGGCATCAATGTGGGGAAATGTAACTACAGGCTATTATTCAATAACTTGAAGCCTTAAAGGTGTCTTTTAAGGGGTGAAACGAGACCATAAATAAAGGCAACCCGAGGCATCATAAAGCCGCCGCTTCTGCTTCTACATCTGCAGCCGTGCCGCGTTTAGCGTCGATCTATGGGGAAAAATACATAAAAAATGATCATCAATATAGGGAAATGTAACTATAATGAGATTCAACTAAGAATAGGACCGACTGGGCGCCATATTATGATGTCATAGCTGTCAATTCAAACCAAATAGGTAGAGTGAGCAAAAAAAAGTTTTTGTTTAATAAAACTTATTTACTAAGATTAAGTGAGAAAAATCATCAGATTTTTTTGATAACATTTATTTACTAAGATTGAGAAAAGAAACCACCGATTTTTAATAATATTTATTTATTAAGACTGTGAGAAAAAATATTAATCAGAATCTAGCTCTTCTATTCCTCTCATCTCTGCATTACCGCCGGAGTAGTTATGAATAATCATGCACTATTACTAGGTCACATTCATACAAACATGCATCCTTTAGGTAAACGAAAGTTTTAAATTGAGTTTCTGAACGCAACTTAAAGTGACATTTGGTTGACAGTTTAGGTTATCAACCATTCATAGCCAAAGCTCAATAAATGAAAAAGAATATCAACCAATATTAATTATCAATATTTGTTATTGTTTTTTTACAAATGTGTGGTATTTATTCTAGAATTAGCGGAGTGCTAAAAAAAGGGATCCAAGATTTTTTTTGCGGCCTTAAATCGTCAAAATACTATGCAATTCCCGGAGCTGACAGTAATGGATGTTGGTTTATAGAACAGCACACTGTCTAGTACCTTTTCCAAAATAAATAAGGTTTTGTATAAAATTGTATCAATCTGTATAAGAAGATGATAGAAGGTTAGAACGATAAGGGTGACATGGTCTATAATAGACAAAACCCTTTGAAAAAAAGAATAAATAAAACACTACGCAAACTCCCATACAAGTAATAAGTGATAAAAGGGTCATTAGTATACCATTATATGATGGTGCAAGTTTGTGTGATATTAAATAGGGTATTTCAAGATTCAACATCACGAACAAAATCGTGGTAGAAACCTGTCTAAAAGGTACATTGGACGATTCACGGAGCTCCGTAAGATGACTAAGATGATCGCGTAGTCAATAACAATATATAAACATTGAAAGTCACCTTTAATGCATACTGGAATAAGGTCTTAATTAAAACGCATACGTTAGAGTTATGACAGTTCGAAATGCAAGCTCGTATATTACGACTTATTGCTATAAGCGGAGGAATATAGACCTTATTTCTTTGATTCTACGCGCAATTCTGTGTGCGCTGTTAGCAATATAGCAGGTACAGCCCGCGAGGAAAAGAGATGACTATCCTACCGACAATGCATTTGAATATCACAAATATTTTCTAACAAACATTGATTAGATAACTGTCGAAAAAACTACACTTTGCGTACTATAAATATTTTTATCGCATTATTTCACAGAGCTCTGCGGCATCTAGACTTATCAACGGTCCTCGCGTGACTGTGAACCAAGCAGTGCTTGAATGGTGTTCAAGCACTTCTTGATTGGGACACATTTTGAGCGCACGTGGTGTGTCTAGGGTATTTAATATTGTTGAACTCACCTTATAAACGCACAAGTTGTGATACGTATCCGGGGTCGTGGTTCCCTCCCTCTGCATCAGCCTCAAGTAAGAGAGCGCGAAGTGTTTCTCGGTTCTGTCTTTCGCCTCGTTTGAGCTTCTGTGCCGACACAGGAACACTAGGTGGGCTTCTTTGAACTCCTCTATGTTCAAGCAAACCTGTTATTAAGAATTACTTTTTAAGCTATTGCATAGATTTTATCGCGGGCTTTGAGCACGGCCTGCACGGCGGCCGAATCCAAAAATTCCGTAACGAAAGTAACCTTTTTCTTTTTTTTTATAACGCAGGTAAAACTTTCTATTTACAGACGACGGTGCCTTTAAGAGGCACACCGCCGAACGGACCTCACACCTGGCTCCCGCAAGTCTTACGGGCGCCCCAGTGGCTGTCCACCGAGGACCCCGCAACCCTTACGGGCTCTTTACGGCATAATATCCGCTTAAAAAAGTCCTGCGAATACCCTCTAAGCTGCTTAGCGCGAAGCCGCGGGATCCCCGTTTAGGGATTCTTCCGCGTCTCCGCACCTAGCAGCTTCCCGGCCTAGCCGGGGCTCCACGGCAGGGGTCTCCCGGGGTATCACGGGGACCCCGCAGACTTGCGCAGGTAGGCCCACGCGTGGGGGTAACGAAAATAACCTGATAATAGTGCATATGAACACAATTTTCGCCTATCCAATATCGATCGAACCGGCACAGTGTGTTAAACTTTTGCCACGGGACCAACGTTCGACGCATTACCGCGGTCGTCGGTTCAAATCCCGAACTCGTATTTTTTTATTTTTTGAAGTTATACTTCTTTAGGTGCGTTATGAAAAAATGATGAGAGTGAAATTTTTAGATGCGCGCGCATCACTGTAACCCAAAAGTAACAGCATGAAGTTGGCCGCGGGCGCGTTATGAAAAAATCATGTGAGTGAAATTTCGAGATGCGCGCGCATCACTGTAACACAATAGTAACACCATGAAGTTGGCCGCGGGCGCGTTATGAATGTTAGTGTCTAATAAAGGTGGATTATTAACCACTTAGTGGTTAATAATCCACCATTATTAGACATCTGTTCGAAAGGTACTTTGAACGATCCACGGAGCTCCATAAGATGATCGCGTTGTCAAAAACAATGTTGGCACGCTCGTCGCCTCTGATCACTGTTTTCATATTTATAATATTTATCCACATGTTTCTAGTTTCTACATAGACACAACGTGTTTTAGTTACTTACAAGTGCTAATTACATATGGACTAATAACTTAAATTCAGTAGTGATTTTAATTGAATATTTTGAATATTTATTTAATTTTTCAAATTAAAACTGAACTTAATTGACTGTGTTAACTATCCTTTTCCAGTCCTTTTATTATTTTATTGTAATTATTAATTATTTGCATGCAATTAAAAAATATTTTTAATAATGCTAAAGAAGTATAACTTCTCACGCGCGTACATAAGTTACACGCATCCATTTTTTTTCCTTTTTTTATATTTGTTTTCGACCCCATCAACTGTTCTTATTTTTATTTGTCTCCCTTTTATTTAGACTTTATAATTATAATTTAAATTTTTGGAGTAAAGATGGTAAACTGCGGAGCTTGTGGAATTGTTTTGGCGCCGGGCAATGCTGTTGTTTGCTGTGCTTGCTCAATAAAATATCATAAGACCTGCCTCGCCATCTATTAATATCAAAGAAAAAACTTAAATTGATATCAAAGAAAAAATACTGCATAAATAAAATAAATAAATAATTATAATTGCATAAGTTGATAAATAATGCTATGCAATAGCTTTACCGCGGCAGTCCCCGAGTGCCACACGTATTTTTTTCTTATAATTTTACTCGTAAGCTTGGGGATTAGTTGTAATTTTTGAAGTTATACTTCTTTAGCCGCGTTATTAAAAAAAAATATGAGAGTGAAATTTTAAGATGCGCGCGCATCACTGTAACACAAAAGTAACATAATGAAGTTAGCCGCGGGCGCGTTATGAAAAAATGATGAGAGTGAAATTTTAATTGAATATTTTGAATATTTATTTAATTTTTCAAATTAAAACTGAACTTAATTGACTGTGTTAACTATCCTTTTCCCGTCATTTTATTATTTTATTGTTATTATTAATTATTTGCATGCAATTAAAAAATATTTTAATGATGCTAAAGAAGTATAACTTCTCACGCGCGTACATAAGTTACACGCATCCATTTTTTTTAAAGTCCTGTCATTATTGGGATATTTAAACAATCAACAGATTTGGTCTTTACTTAACAGCCAATTCCAGCATTTCAACATCCTATAGTTTATTGCAAATTTTTTCTTGATATCTTATATTCTGTTATAATGCAGATTAAACACCATGGCAACAGTTTTTTTTTTGCTAAATATAAGTATAGTCGAGTATCTCGATGGCGCGGGTGGCTAGCTCGTTCGGCTGCGATCGTTGAAGTTAAGCGACTTTCGCAGTGGTCGGTCATTGGATGGGTGACCAAAAATCTTCTATTATTGTTAAACCGTTGGTCCCGGCTGCATCTGCAGTCGTTAGCACCCGCCAATATGCACTGGGCCCGCGTGGTGGGTCATGGCCCAATCTCCCTATTCCATCCTTAGGGAAGGCCTGTGCCCCAGCAGTGGGAACATTAATAGGCTGATAATGATGTTCTATTTATTTAATGTAGTGAAAATTCTTTCGCCGGTTTTTATCAACTACTAAAAATGTTGTGTATTTGTGGTGGTGGCAGAAAAACAAATGTTAGGAGTTTTTATAGACAATCGTATTTTAAAGTCGACTTGAATAATATTCTATAATACACTAATATCGTTTTATAATACAAACCATTTATTTGTTTAATCAAGAGAATCTTACAAAAGAACGGAAATTAACGGAGAAATTGGCTGTATGAACTCTCTATTCGTTTGCCTTTTTAGTAATCAGAGAAGTTTAAAATAACCAATACAGCGCAATGATCTATCTAATCTGTGGCATTGCTCGTAGGAATTGCATTTTTAGTAATTAATTTTTTCATATTTTTTAAACCCCGCTAGATGTGGGATTTCTGTTTTTTGTTAGAAATGTAAATGATTTTTTGTCATATATGATCTTATGAGGTTTTCTATTAGTTATCTGTATTCAAAACATGAAACGACCCTGGGGAACGTCCGCAACAACTCCTTTACAACGCAATATAATATCAAATTGTGAAATCTAGAAACGGACCTTATTTCTACGGACTTAATGTATCAATTTACCTTGAATACTTCCTGCCACCTAGGCCGATCGTCGTGGTAGTAAACGATCGAGGTATACTCATTCGCTAGTGGCACACCTGCTCCGAGCGATATTACACCCTATGGATAAATAAATAGAGTCCCATATTACAGAATAAATAATAAATAAATAAATAATAAATATTTCCAACATTCACACCAATTAGCCTAGCCCCAAAGTAAGCACTATAAGGCTTGTGTTATGGGATACTAGGGTAACGGACAGAATACATATACTTTACATATATAAGTATATTTATATAGAAATACATATTAAACATCCATGACTAGAGTACAAATGCTCGTGTTCATCACACAAACATCTGCCCCCACCGGGATTCGAACCCACTCGTACTAACCACTCGGCCACGGAGGTCGTCGAATGACAACTAAGTGTTGATCTCTACTCGAGTACAGTTAGAAAGGGATATCGCTATGTGCTATATATAGCGACATCCCTTTCTAACTATGCTCAAGACTAGATCAATCACTGAGAATCTTTCTATAATACTGGTCAGAGTCGTAAATCAAAAAATACAATTTTTATGAGTTACTTACATAAATGGTAATCAAGGAATATCAAACAAAAAAGGAACCGAAGAAGCTTGACGGCGCAAGTGGTTAGCGCTTTCGGTTGCGATCGTTGAAGTTAAGCAATTTTTGCTATGGTCAGTCATTGGATGGGTGACCAAAAAATTTACTAACCCCGAGCTCATCCGTGCTTCAGTTCACTTCACGTTGGTCCCGGCTACATCTGCAGTCGTTAGCAACCACCAATAGGGGTGATGACGGGGTACAGTAAACGAAATTCTATTTAGTCCGTCAGTTAGATGATCAGAAAATAATGGACACGTATTTTTTCTTTGGGCAATCAACCAAAAAATAACAAAGTTATAGCCCGTCAAAGTTTGGGAGTAGGGGCTCGTGACGTCACTTTTTAGTGAATTTTCACTTAAAAGTGTACTCAAACGTGACGTCATTCGACTTTTTAAATCAATATATCTCTGCAATGTTTATATTATGTGAAAAAAGAAAAAATACATGTCTAATACTTTTTGATAATCTACCTGATAAACGAAGAAAAAAAAAATAGTCATCATCCCTATTGGGCTCACGTGGTGGGTCATGGTCCAATCTCCCAGTCTGGCCCAGCAGTGAGACATTAACAGGCTGACTATGATGACGACTCACCGGCAAAGTCTTCCCATGTTTGTCGACTACCCTCACTGCCAACTCAATGTTCCTTTCAGAAGACTTCCCGCCACCTTTGGAAAAGGTGCCGCTGACCAAGGTCACATAGAGGTCGTTGCGCGCGTCTCCGGGCAATATCACTTCGGGGAATCCCATTTTTCGCGCTACGGCTGTATTTCCCACTACTATGTGTGGGTTCTCTTCGCGAATCTTAATAAAATAAACATTCATTTTATTATTAAACTAGCGATACGGGATCTTTGCATATTTTTTTCCGATTTCATAAAGGAGGAAGCTGGCAAATAGTCAGTATATACAATACTATTTGCCAGCTTCCTATATCAAAAATACATTTTTTGGAGTTTACTTCTTAAGAATCGATTTGCATATATAAGGGGCCCGGTATGAGAAAAATGTGAGGAGTAAAATCTATCGATGAATGACCTCGTTACGTTTTTGGTGCGCATCCTATGTCGCGCAACTTTGACAAATAAATGCGTTTGACACACGCAATGACTCTTTGACAGAAGGGCTTAAAAGTTAGAATTTCGGCCGAAAGGCGAGCGCTTTCTTAAGTGAATACTTCAAAAAATATTTAAAAGAGAGGACGAGGAGCGCCTCCGAGAGGCGGATCCAATAAGGAGAAAGCGGAGTCGACAGCCCGTTTACAGTCTCCGCAGAAGGGACCTCAGACGCCAGGCACAAGGTTTGTCTGGTGGCTGTACAAAAACTAGGTTCAAGAGAGAAGATGATACGCCAATGTGTCCTGCGGCGCGTTATCGAAGGGATCGGGAAAGGTGCAACCTAGCTCCCTTTCCAGAGGTGGGTCTGCCTCATGTGACAGGCAACTGGCACCGGCTGGTTATGTGTACGTTTCGGTCCAATAGCGATGCCTATTGCCAGTGTTGATGGGGCACGTGGGGGTTTTAGTCGACTAGAAGTAGACCGACAGTGGGTAAGCAGGGGAGAGCCCGACATAACCCGCTTATCAATTTTCAGTGAGCGGGTATGCGTAAGACAAAAAGAAAAAAAAAACAACTATAATTGCTATTTCTTCTTTCAAATGTTTAATACTTGAAAAAGTATTCATTTGACATTGTGGGTTACCTACAATGCGAAGAGATGGCGCTGCCTTGCAGCTTAAGGCTAGGAAAATTTCGACGCGGCTAATAGGGCCGTGGTAGCATAATGGTCAGTGCATTCGCCCGGATAGCGAAGGATGCGGGTTCGAGTCCCGTCCTCTGCCTGGTCCGCGTGGATTTATTTCTAGTAAACTTTTCTTTAGATTTAAACATCTAGCAGTTAAATGCTTAAAAAATAAATAAAATCATAACTATGCGTAAGACATTTCCCCCACGAAAAAAAAGGGTAGCAAGCAATGTTGCGCGTGATATTATCTGTATCACAAGCGTATATACGCTATGGTGGCCACTTACCATCAGATAGTCCATATGTTTGTTTGCCACCCTTTTACCATAAAAAGATACCTCAGTCTGTGCATCCCCCCGGATAGCGGAGGGAGCAGGTTCGAGTCCCGTCTGCTGCTTAAAATTTTCTAGTATTATAATTTTCTCTAGATTTAAACATCTAGCAGTTAAATGCTTAAGGAGAATACCTGTTTCAAATCCCCTTCAACCAATTGCAGAGACACCCAAAGCCCTTGAGAATGCTTGGCGTTTTTCAGATCGCGGTTTGCAAGCACTTTCTTGAGTAGGTCGTCCATGTTTTCCTTCTCGCAACTATGAAAACGAAATCAACAGCAGCTTGTAATAACCAAAAAATTTAACGAAACTGAAAATTATTATTACACGAAAGCAAACCAGTGAACCAAATGTTCACCAAAAAAAAAAATGTATTTAATTAATTGAGAACTTCGGAGATTTTGTGTGGTTTCGTTTGAAATAGAAATCACGTGATTTCTCGAAAACCGGAAGTGCTACGTTACTCACATCCGGTTTGTAGTCTTATCAGACTATTATTAACTTATAACTTAAACATTCTCTTTATCTATATCTTACGGTTTGGCCGCTGAAACAGCACCACGGACGGACGGACGGACTTGTCTATTAGATAAGAGATAATTTTATTTTCACATCTCTAGATTTAATTAACATTCGACTGTTTTTCTTTAACAAACGCATCACGACCGCACTAATAGTGAACAGGCATATTCTAGGCAGACGTATACCATTCTAGGCCTCATCATCGCTTTCCATCAGGCGAGATTGTGGTCAAATGCCTTGCCTATTAAGCATAAGCATAAAAAAAAATGGATGCGTGTAACTTATGTACGCGCGTGAGAAGTTATACTTCTTTAGCATCATTATAAATATTTTTTAATTGCATGCAAATAATTAATAATTACAATAAAATAATAAAAGGACTGAAAAAGGATAGTTAACACAGTCAATTAAGTTCAGTTTTAATTTGAAAAATTAAATAAATACTTATTCAAAATATTCAATTAAAATCACTACTGAATTTAAGTTATTAGTACATATGTAATTAGCACTTGTAAGTAACTAAAACACGTTGTGTCTATATAGAAACTAGAAACATGTGGATAAATATTATAAATATGAAAACAGTGATCAGAGGCGACGAGCGTGCCAACATTGTTTTTGACAACGCGATCATCTTATGGAGCTCCGTGGATCGTTCAAAGTACCTTTCGAACAGATGTCTAATAATGGTGGATTATTAACCACTAAGTGGTTAATAATCCACCATTATTAGACACTAACATTCATAACGCGCCCGCGGCCAACTTCATGGTGTTACTATTGTGTTACAGTAATGCGCGCGCATCTCGAAATTTCACTCACATGATTTTTTCATAACGCGCCCGCGGCTAACTTCATTATGTTACTTTTGTGTTACAGTGATGCGCGCGCATCTTAAAATTTCACTCTCATAATTTTTTCATAACGCGGCTAAAGAAGTATAACTTCAATAACTTTTAGCATTGCTTAAATTTATTCCTGTCCCATTTATTGCTATTACATTAGAGTAGTCGTCGAGTGATTAGCGCGTTCGGTCTGCGATCGTGAAGGATAAACAACCTTTGCAATGGTGGTAATCGGATGGGTGACCAAAAAATTTACTATCAATCACTCCTCCGTGCTTCAAAAGGAAAGTTAAGCACCCACTAGTACCCGCGTGGTGGGTCATGGCCTAATCTCCCTATCCCATCCATAGGGTTGGCCTTTGCCACCAGCAGCGGCGTGCCCAGGGTCAAGACTTAGGTCGGAAACAAGCTCAAAAACGAAATACTCAAATACTACTAAATCTTGCCAGCTATATATGTTCCGGCAATCTGTGAAATCCCGATGAATGAAATATTATTAATTTTATACTTCGCCTTTGTATTACAATGTCGAATGCAGTAAGCAACGTGTGTAAGTCTTCTTTTAGACACGTTGCCGACACATAGGGGGGGGGGGGGCGTATTCCGAAATGTACATCAGTATACTGGCCAGTATTAATGGCGTCACGAAACCGATGCCATATTTTACTGGTATGCTACCAAATTTTTACCGGGAAAACGAATATGACGTATGACCGAGCGTGCGTGAGATGCATTCGAATTTTATTTCTTTTTTATTTAAAGAACTATAATGGCATCCGAACAAAAAGAATTCCTTTTAATTGATAAGGTAAATAAAAAATCTTCTTTATTCGCACTATTTTTAATATTTCGTCGTTTTATGACGTCAGTGCACTGGCCAATATATTTCGGAACAACTCACCAGTATAGCGTCGATCCATGACGTCATTAGCACTGGCCAGTATACTGGTATATATAACGGAATACACCCATTAAAGCGAATAGACTTTTCCTTGTTTTATTTATATACAGATGTCTATTCTGACAAGATTCTTTAGACTTAAACTTCAATTTGACAAGAGTGTATACATGTCATTCTCTATATAGAATGAAATGGAGACTGGTGTCAAATTTAATTTTAAGATTACTGAATCACGCCATAGTAAACATCTATGGCGTGTATCTATCAATTGCCGCGGCATGCTCGCTTTGCTCGCACTAAGTTTAGTTCACAACACTAGCTAAGCTACATTGAGTTGGCCAAACGTTCATTGGTAGTACATTTGGTGAGTATAATAAAATCCGCCTATCATTATATACTTCCGGACACATCTATCGGCCCTAAGTGGGCTGGTGGTTATAAGTTTCAATGGTCTGTACCAAAAATATATGTTTATGGTTGAGCAAATAATTTTAAAAACACAAGAAAAGGTGGATGTTAAATCAGTGTCAAAATTCCGTAGGTATTAACTTTTTGCTCAATGTAACATTCATTTCTAGCTAGGGACCGTCAAAACTCAAAATTCTTGGTGGGTCGATAGATGTGTCTGGAAGTATATATCCAACTGTGTTGGGTAGGTTAGGTTTGGTTAAGATAAATGGCGGAAAAAACAGTTTATTTTACACATGGACCGGTGGACCAGCAGGTAACATATTCAATGGCAAAGTATAAAATGGAAATTAATCTTTAATATATTGCCTAGAGACGATCCGATCATTCTATTTCTATACAATAAAGAAATTCTATTCTACGCAGTAATCGTTTATAGTCAGATAGAAAAATGCAACATGAATATAACATACCAACTGGGGTATTTGTGTACCAGCAATACAAAGAGTTTTGTACACAGGTCTATTATAATATCAGTAATGATTTTTTAGTAATTTACGAAACACTTAAATCTGTACCCTTAGTGCGAGTTTAAATTTTGGTGAAAAGTAACCAATATACTAAAATTTAAGAAGACACAAATGTTTAAATTATAGAATGAGGGTTTTTTTAGAATGACAGGCACCAGGTGGCAGTACTGAGACGAAAGGTCTAATCATCCGTCAAATCGCATATGATCTCATAGTCTATGAATCTGGTCTATGGTGTTGGCGCTAAAAACTTCATACAAAAGACCTCACGTAACAGTGGCGCCAACTGGTCACGTAAATTTTCATAAACACCCTCATTTAAACACTGTTTATTTATATTGAAACGAAAACAATAAAATCAGTACCTGTGAGCTCACAAAAACTATCATAGTTTTCGTAATTGTAAAACTCGTATTAAGGGTATTGGAGTAGGTTTAAATGAGGTTATGAGGTGGTTTTTGCAGCAAATGTTAAAATGTGATAAATTCCCTCGCCGATCAACACTTTTGCACAGTTAAGTAAAATACACGGGGTAAATAGCAATCATTTCTGAGCACATTGTATAACACAAAAACACAAATACACCTGATAACCACTACACTCGCTTAGGCAAACTGAACTTAGTGTAAAGTAAATACGTAAACAATCGCCATTGTTGCCAGTATCAGTAACATAAATTCGACAATCGCTACTAAACTAAAAATTAAGACTAAGTTTAATTCGTTACATTAAAAATGAATTTCGCAAATCACGTTAAAAAATATGCAGTTCCGTGTTATTTTTTATCCTAAAAATAATAATTAAATAAATATTTCCAACACTCACACCAACTAGCAAAGCCACAAAGTAAGCACTATAAGACTTGTGTTATACGATACTAGGGTAACGGATAGAATACATATAAATAAAACTAGTTTTTACGGGTTAATGCACGAAACTGTATTTATTTATTGACGAAATGTCAAACGTCAATAAATAAATAAAGTTTCGTGCATTAAAACCCGTAAAATCTAGTTTTATTTAATGAGTGATGTGCGTGAAAACCTAAGAAACAAATAGAATACATATACTTTACATATATAAGTATATTTATTTAGAAATCTAGAAATACATATTAAACATCCATGACTGCAATACAAATGCTCGTGTTCATCCCCCAAACATCTGCCTCCACCGGGATTCGAACCCGGGACCTCTGGAGTCAGCGACGCCATGAAACCCGGCGTATAAACCATTCGGCCACGGAGGTCGTCAAATTATAATAATGAATAGTATGAAGAATAATTGTACCAAGTTTCGTTAAAATCCGTCAAGTAGTTTTTGTTTCTATAAGGAACATACATACAGACAGACAGACAGACAGACAGACAAAAATTTTACTGATTGCATTTTTGGCATCAGCATCGATCACTAATCACCCCCCGATAGTTATTTTGAAAATATATTTCACGTACAGAATTGATCTCTCTACAGATTTATTATAAGCATAGATAATCTTTAACTCACGCGTAGAACGGTACTTGTATGTGCTTGTCGGGGTTGTCGTTGGCCAGGTGTCGCGTGACGTCAACGCAGGCCACGCCGAAGGGGCGGCGCATCCCCCCCGTCGTGGACGCCGTGACGGGAGGCTGGGCTACCGAACTACGTCTGCAGGGGCAAATAGACTTTTAATAGAATCTGTGCTTGTATTGTAACCTTAAATATATATATGTTGGCGGATGGCGTCTCACTCGCTCCTTCGAAACGTTAAACCAACAACAAATGTCATCAGTCAGTGTACCATTGCCTTGTGAAACGTCAAGTAATGACAGTGACAGCTGTCATCACTTGGGAGTGGTCTATGCTAAGGGTAGTATCAAAAAGGGGCTATGTTTCATTGGAAGGGGCATTCGGCATTCAGTCGTGAGCCGCGGTAGTGAAAAGACGATTAGCACAGAACTCTCCACGCTTCGCAAAGCAATCCGTTTGTACCTTTTCAATCATTGCTGATTTTGTGAAGTGATTAGAAGATTTAAATTAAACGTTAGTTTGGTCACTAGACTACAGTTTTATTTTCGGGAAATATCATCGAATAACCAAGATGGCGGATCAAGACGAACCACGTGGCCAACCGCCTATTCCGCTCGCCCCCTCCGAGATATATTTTATTAATTTTCTGGTCCGGTGCAAAGGCAAAGGATTTACACAGCCTTGCCCCCTTTTTTATTTTTTCTTTTAAATTATATAATTATGCATATAAAAATCATTAGTGTTTGGCATCCACTTGTCAGATAAAGGAATCAGTTGAAAACCAGCGCCAGTGCATACTGCACTGACATTATGCTGAACTGGGCCCTTTTCAGCGCAGCCGTGGATACGGTGTGGTATCAGTCATTTTGTAAGTTTTAAATATAACAATTTTTCTATATCCATGTACTGTGCTGAATAAACGATTTTGTTTGTTTGTTTGTTAAATATATTAGTCAATCGTACCCTTAGCACGAACCAATATCGAATTCGTAACGTTTGCGAATACGAAATGCCATTGTCTGTAAATGTGTACTGATTTTTAGTTCTCGTTACGCACTTTGTGGCGCTGCTGTTGCAAGCTAGTACACATTTGACAATGACACTTCGGACTCGCAAACGCTACGAATTCGATATTGGTTCGTGCTAGGGGTACTGTTCTTAATTTGGTATTTGTGTGAGGGGCTCGATGGCGAGAACTGACAAGGGGGAGGAGGGGGTAAAGAATTGTAATAAATGTGCTTACGTAATACTTGAACGGGCTCACAGATATCAGCAATCGTGGAAATTAAGCAACTTTCGCAGTGGTCGGTCATTGGATGGGTGACCAAAAATTTACTTTCTCGAGCTCCTCCGTGCTTCGGATGGCACGTTAAGTCCCGGCTGCAACGGCAGTCATTAGCACCCACCAATCCACGTGGTGGATCATGACCCATTCTCCCTATTCCATGGAAGGCCGGTGCGCCAGCAGTAAGGACATTAATAGGATGAATGAAAGACAATATATACCAGTATACTGGCCAGAGCTAATGACGTCATAAATCGACGCTATACTGGTGAATTGTTCCGTAATATATTGGCCAGTGCACTGACGTCATAAATCGACGAAATATTAAAAATAGTGCGACTAAAGAAGATTTTTTATTCACCTTATCAATTAAAAGGAATTCTTTTTGTAAGGATGCCATTATCTCTTATCTATTAGACAAGTCCGTCCGTCCGTCTGTCTGTGGTGCTGTTTCAGCGGCCAAACCGTAAGAGATAAATAAAGAGAATATTTAAGTTATAAGTTAAGAATAGTCTGATAAGACTACAAACCGGATTTGAGTAACGTAGCACTTCCGGTTTTCGAGAAATCACGAATTTCAAACGAAACCACACAAAATCTCCGAAGTTCTCAATTAATTTTTTTTTTTTTAAATCAGGTTTAAGTGAACTTTTGGTTCACTGGTTTGCTAGTTGTTCTTTAAATAAAAAAGAAATAAAATTCGAATGCATCCCACGCACGCTCGGTCATACGTCATATTCGTTTTCCCGGTAAAAATATGGTAGCATACCAATAAAATATGGCGTCGGATTCGTGACGCCATTACCACTGGCCAGTATCATCATCATCATCAGCCTATTAATGTCCCCACTGCTGGGGCACAGGCCTTCCCTATGGATGGAATAGGGAGATTGGGCCATGACCCACCACGCGGGCCCAGTGCCAACGGCTTAACGTGCCTTCCGAAGCACGGAGGAACTCGAGATAGTAAATTTTTGGTCACCCATCCAATGACCGACCACTGCGAAAGTTGCTTAACTTCAACGATCACAGCCGAACGCGCTAACCACTTGCGCCATCGAGCTCCTCTAGCCAGTATACTGTACCCTTAGTACGAGTTTTACAATCACGAAAACTATGATAGTTTTCGTGAGCTCAAACTCGTACTAAGGGTACTGGTATATATTACGGAATACACCGCTTGTCTCCAGATACATTGTTTGAGGAGCTCGATGGCGCAGGTGGCTAGTGCGTTCGGCTGCGATCGTTGAAGTTAAGCAACTTTCGCAGTGGTCGGTCATTGGATGGGTGACCAAAAATTTACTATCTCGAGCTCCTCCGTGCTTCGGAAGGTACGTTAAGCAGTTGGTCCCGGCTGCATTTGCAGTCGTTAGCACCCACCATTCGCACTGGGCCCGCGTGGTGGGTCATGGCCCAATCTTCCTATTCCATCCATAGGGAAGGCCTGTGCCCCAGCAGTGGGGACATTAATAGGCTGATGATGATGATGATGATGATGTCATTGTTCACTCACCTGTGATCGACATTCTGTGAGTCCATGGAACCTATTCTAACCACATGGCACACTAAGTAGATTTTCTCCCTCTTCACGTCACTTGAGAGATCCTGAAACAACCGAGGATTATAAACCTTAATAGGGATGATGACTAATTTTTTCCTTCGTTTATCAGGTAGTTTTTTAATAGTACATTACGATAAGCGTGACCTAAGTTGCCTTTTACTCGCTCCACTCGGGCGCAAACTTCACGCCGTGCAGTAATAGACAACTTAGGCCACAAGTATCGTATACTATTTTATAGCAAGTGTGACATAAACCGGCCCCGGACGCGGGCAAGAGGGGGGGGGGGGTCCCCCGAGGGATGCGATTAGTGTTTTGAAAGTAAAATTCATGTATTGCAATCACAAAGAATTGCAATACAGACTGCAAGTCAAACTCTGAAAAGAAAGAATTCCGGTTCAGATTACCATTTTGAAAGTATATTTCAAAAGGAAAAAATCAAATATCATTACAACAAAATAACCTAACCTATCGTTAATTTGTCATTTGTTTGCTGTGAGTTTTTAAGCTCCAAATGACATTTAAATGTGTTTCCTTTTATTTTTTCTACATGAGTGAAGTTGGTCAATTCATTTACACACCGTGCAGAAATAGGCAACTTAGGTCACGGAAAAGCGTGCGTAAAGTGCGGGTTTAGGTCACACTGTGCTATTAAAAGTATTGGACACGTTCTTTTTCTTTTTCCACATAATATAAACATTGCAGAGATATATTGATTTGAAAAGTCGCATGACGTCACGTTCGAGTACACTTATAAGTGAAAATTCACTCAAAAGTGACGTCACGAGCCCCTACTCCCAAACTTTGACGCGCTATAACTTTGGCACTTTTTGGTAGATTGCCCTAAAAAAAAATACGTGTCCATTATTTTTTGATCATCTAACTGACGGACTTAATAGAATTTCATTTACTGTATCCCGTCATCGCCCCTATTATTTGCGTACTATTATCGAAACCGTTGTACTGACGATAAGGGTTTATATAGATTACACAACTTCTGATAAATTCGGACAAATTCATCAGCTTATTCGTACATAGAAAGAGTTAAATCACAATAAGTACAACCTAAAACGTCGTCCTAATATTCAACTACTGTTCGTTTCCAGAGAGAGATATTATTTCACGGAAAAGATTTAGGAGCTATCTGGATATTTCATTTCACTTGGCACTATTGTGAGATTTCATAGCTGTTTTTTTTAAGTTTTGAACGTACTTACAGTAAATATGACTTGCGCAGGAGTTAAGTAGTGAGTAGGCCACCTTAGTATCAAGTGTTCTATGAGCTTATTCCCTAATAACTCAACTATTCCATATTACGTAAATTAGGTTTAGTATGAACTATCATAGTTTTTTGTGAAGATTTTAATGCACTTACCGTGAATATGACTTGCGCAGGAGTGAAGTAATGAGTCGGCTACCTAAGTAACAAGTGTTCTGTGAGCTTATTCCCTTCAGCGTTGCATAAGGACATTAATAACTCGGCTATTCCAGATTACGTGTATTAGATTTTGTACGAACTATCTTAAATTTTAATGACAATTTTAATGCACTTACCGTGATAATGACTTGCGCAGGAGTGAAGTAGTGAGTAGGCCACCTTAGTAACAAGTGTTCTGTGAGCTTATTCCCTTCAGCGTCGTATAAGGACATTAATAACTCAGCTATTCCAGATTACGTGTATTAGATTTTGTACGAACTATCTTAAATTTTAATGACAATTTTAATGCACTTACCGTGATAATGACTTGCGCAGGAGTGAAGTAGTGAGTAGGCCACCTTAGTAACAAGTGTTCTGTGAGCTTATTCCCTTCAGCGTCGTATAAGGACATTAATAACTCGGCTATTCCAGATTACGTGTAGTTGCTTTTGTATGAACTATCTTAAATTTTAATGACAATTTTAATGCACTTACCGTGATAATGACTTGCGCAGGAGTGAAGTAGTGAGTAGGCCACCTTAGTAACAAGTGTTCTGTGAGCTTATTCCCTTCAGCGTCGTATAAGGACATTAATAACTCGGCTATTCCAGATTACGTGTAGTAGCTTTTGTATGAACTATCTTTGCTTTTAATGACAATTTTAATGCACTTACCGTGAATATGACTTGCGCAGGAGTAAAGTAGTGAGTAGGCCACCTTAGTAACAAGTGTTCTGTGAGCTTATTCCCTAATAACTCAACTATTCCATATTACGTAAATTAGGTTTAGTATGAACTATCATAGTTTTTTGTGAAGATTTTAATGCACTTACCGTGAATATGACTTGCGCAGGAGTGAAGTAGTGAGTAGGCCACCTTAGTAACAAGTGTTCTATGAGCTTATTCCCTAATAACTCAACTATTCCAGATTACGTAAATTAGCTTTTGTATGAACTATCTTTGCTTTTAATGAAGATTTTAATGCACTTACCGTGAATATGACTTGCGCAGGAGTGAAGTAGTGAGTAGGCCACCTTAGTAACAAGTGTTCTGTGAGCTTATTCCCTTCAGCGTCGTATAAGGACATTAATAACTCGGCTATTCCAGATTACGTGTAGTAGCTTTTGTATGAACTATCTTTGCTTTTAATGACAATTTTAATGCACTTACCGTGAATATGACTTGCGCAGGAGTGAAGTAGTGAGTAGGCCACCTTAGTAACAAGTGTTCTGTGAGCTTATTCCCTTCAGCGTCGTATAAGGACATTAATAACTCGACTATTCCAGATTACGTGTAGTAGCTTTTGTATGAACTATCTTAAATTTTAATGACAATTTTAATGCACTTACCGTGAATATGACTTGCGCAGGAGTGAAGTAGTGAGTAGGCCACCTTAGTAACAAGTGTTCTGTGAGCTTATTCCCTTCAGCGTCGTATAAGGACATTAATAACTCGGCTATTCCAGATTACGTGTAGTAGCTTTTGTATGAACTATCTTAAATTTTAATGACAATTTTAATGCACTTACCGTGAATATGACTTGCGCAGGAGTGAAGTAGTGAGTAGGCCACCTTAGTAACAAGTGTTCTGTGAGCTTATTCCCTAATAACTCAACTATTCCAGATTACGTAAATTAGGTTTTGTATGAACTATCTTTGCTTTTAATGAAGATTTTAATGCACTTACCGTGAATATGACTTGCGCAGGAGTGAAGTAGTGAGTAGGCCACCTTAGTAACAAGTGTTCTGTGAGCTTATTCCCTTCAGCGTCGTATAAGGACATTAATAACTCGGCTATTCCAGATTACGTGTAGTAGCTTTTGTATGAACTATCTTAAATTTTAATGCACTTACCGTAAATATGACTTGCGCAGGAGTGAAGTAGTGAGTAGGCCACCTTAGTATCAAGTGTTCTATGAGCTTATTCCCTAATAACTCAACTATTCCAGATTACGTAAATTAGGTTTTGTATGAACTATCATAGTTTTTTGTGAAGATTTTAATGCACTTACCGTGAATATGACTTGCGCAGGAGTGAAGTAGTGAGTAGGCCACCTTAGTAACAAGTGTTCTGTGAGCTTATTCCCTTCAGCGTCGTATAAGGACATTAATAACTCGGCTATTACAGATTACGTGTAGTAGCTTTTGTATGAACTATCTTAAATTTTAATGACAATTTTAATGCACTTACCGTGATAATGACTTGCGCAGGAGTGAAGTAGTGAGTAGGCCACCTTAGTAACAAGTGTTCTGTGAGCTTATTCCCTTCAGCGTCGTATAAGGACATTAATAACTCGGCTATTCCAGATTACGTGTAGTAGCTTTTGTATGAACTATCTTAAATTTTAATGACAATTTTAATGCACTTACCGTGATAATGACTTGCGCAGGAGTGAAGTAGTGAGTAGGCCACCTTAGTAACAAGTGTTCTGTGAGCTTATTCCCTTCAGCGTCGTATAAGGACATTAATAACTCGGCTATTCCAGATTACGTGTAGTAGCTTTTGTATGAACTATCTTAAATTTTAATGACAATTTTAATGCACTTACCGTGATAATGACTTGCGCAGGAGTGAAGTAGTGAGTAGGCCACCTTAGTAACAAGTGTTCTGTGAGCTTATTCCCTTCAGCGTCGTATAAGGACATTAATAACTCGACTATTCCAGATTACGTGTAGTAGCTTTTGTATGAACTATCTTAAATTTTAATGCACTTACCGTAAATATGACTTGCGCAGGAGTGAAGTAGTGAGTAGGCCACCTTAGTAACAAGTGTTCTATGAGCTTATTCCCTAATAACTCAACTATTCCATATTACGTAAATTAGGTTTAGTATGAACTATCATAGTTTTTTGTGAAGATTTTAATGCACTTACCGTGAATATGACTTGCGCAGGAGTGAAGTAGTGAGTAGGCCACCTTAGTAACAAGTGTTCTGTGAGCTTATTCCCTTCGGCGTCGTATAGAGCCGGTAATAATTCGGCTGCGTCCGACATTCGACATACAAAATTGTGGACCCGCAACGCTATAGTGTATGTACGAGCTGTAGGGAGAGCCGTTGTCTGTTGGGTAGCCGGTGTGGTTTCCTGTTTCGACAAAGAAATTAGATAAATATAAAAGAAAAAAGAAAATGTAAGTGTAAAGAAAATATAACTAGAAAAAAATCCACATTCTTTAGATTTAAACATCCAGCAGTTAAATGCTTGAAAAAATAAAAACATAATTAAGTATTGTGTCAAAACATACCATATTCTTATCGATGCGTGCGTTCGCTTCGTCGTGCATAGAATTGAGTCTGTACGTTGAAATTTGGAGGGGATCCACCAATTGGCCGTTGGCTGTTCTCACTGCCAATTCCATGCCTAGTGCTCTGAAAACCAAATCACTAATCAAAACCTTTAACTTTACTATGTGAGAAGGATGGTAATAGGGATGATGACTAATTTTTTTTTTCTTCGTTTATCAGGTAGATTATCAAAAACTATTATTGGACACGTATTTTTTCTTTTTTCACATAATATAAACATTGCAGAGATATATTGATTTGAAAAGTCACATGACGTCACGTTTGAGTACACTTATAAGCGAAAATTCACTCAAAAGTGACGTCACGAGCCCCTACTCCCAAACTTTGACGCGCTATAACTTTGTCATTTTTTGGTTGATTCCCCAAAGAAAAAATACGTGTCCATTATTTTTTGACCATCTAACTTGCGGACTAAATAGAATTTCGTTTACTGTACCCCGTCATCACCCCTATTGTATACAGTAGCATATAAAGTTCCAGGATTTTTCATAAATGATAAGTCACCTTGGGCTTAATATAATAGACTAAGTCGTTTTACTTTACTGATTTGGTTGAAAATTGTTTAATCGCCACTTCTTAATTTAAAAATAGTACCTAGCTATACTCAATTTTTGTTAATTAATAATATTAAAGTGATGGAAGTTGACATCAACATATATTTTAAATTTTTGATGTCATCTTTCAATTGACGACACTGTATGAAACAAAACAGGGAGAAAAAAAATAGCCCTTGCTGAGTTTCTTGCCGGTTCTTCTCAATACAAAGTCTCCCGATGGCGTAGCGTTTGACTTTCACAAGAGCTTGTAACAGCTTAGACTGAATAAATGAGTTTGAGTTGAGGACTACATGGGGAAGGTTCACAAAACTACTATGTAAAATAAATGGAAAATTAATACGAGATAATCAACATTAGCTTGATTAATATTCCCACTGTAATGCCAAAGGCCTTCTCTCTGGACGGAAGAAAGTGTGGTGACCCACCAAGCACGCACCACGGGTTCAGTGGGTGTAGGTAAGCTTCATTTTCTTCCTTTCTTCAAAAATTCTACTATTGCAGACCGAACTCGCCAACCATTGAGCCATCAAGCTCCTTTTGAATTCATATCAACTTGTTTAGGTTCAAGGATCTCTGATTAAATTATCATATCTAAAAACATGCATTGATACAAGTGTCGCCGCACACGGGCCACACGCCATAGCCACAAACGCCGCCACGAGAAGCTAGAAGCGGCTACTAAAGTGGCTGAAGCGCGCGACAGCGGCCGACTAAGGTAACGGAGAGAGGGGTGGGGAATCGCGCGAGTGACGTGTGGCGGCGTTTGGTATCGGCGTATTAAGTGGCCGGTGCGGGCCACAAGAAGCGAGCAACGACGATTTGTAGCGTGTGGCGGCCACCGGCGCTACCATGTGTGTGTGAGTCCATATAAAATGTATGAAAACTACAAGAAATATGCCGGTGGCGGCGTTTTGTGGTTGTGGTCGGTGGCCCGTGTGCGGCGACACTAAGGTTAAATGGGTCCATGGGGCAAGGTCCCGCTGGCTACGCATAGGATTTTCACCTCTAAACACGTATGAATACGGGTTAATTTTACCTGTTTCCTTTGTCTATTGTGAACACCGCAGTCCTGACCACCTTCCTCATTTGTCCATGGGGCAAAGTCCCGCTGACTTCGCATAGGATTTTCACCTCTAAACACGTATGAAGAAGGTACAATTTTACCTGTTTCCTTTGTCTATTGTGAACACCGCAGTCCTGACCACCTTCCTCATTTGTCCATGGGGCAAAGTCCCGCTGACTTCGCATAGGATTTTCACCTCTAAACACGTATGAAGAAGGTACAATTTTACCTGTTTCCTTTGTCTATTGTGAACACCGCAGTCCTGGCCACCTTCCTCATTTGTCCATGGGGCAAAGTCCGGCTGACTTCGCATAGGATTTTCACCTCTAAACACGTATAAATACGGGCCAATTTTACCTGTTTCCTTTGTCTATTGTGAACACCGCAGTCCTGACCACCTTCTTCATTTGTCCATGTGGCAAGATCCCGCTGGCTACGCATAGGATTTTCACCTCTAAACACGTATAAATACGGGCCAATTTTACCTGTTTCCTTTGTCTATTGTGAACACCGCAGTCCTGACCACCTTCTTCATTTGTCCATGGGGCAAGGTCCCGCTGGCTTCGCATAGGATTTTCACCTCTAAACACGTATGAAAAAGGTACAATTTTACCTGTTTCCTTTATCTATTGTGAACACCGCAGTCCTGACCACCTTCTTCATTTGTCCATGGGGCAAAGTCCCGCTGACTTCGCATAGGATTTTCACCTCTAAAGACGTATGAAGAAGGTACAATTTTACCTGTTTCCCTTTTGCATCGTGTACACCGCAGTCCAGACCACCTTCCACATTTGGCCCTGGGGCAAGGTCCCGCTGACTTCGCATAGGATTTTCACCTCTAAACACGTATGAATACGAGCCAATTTTACCTGTTTCCTTTATCTATTGTGAACACCGCAGTCCTGGCCACCTTCCGCATTTGGTCCTGGGGCAAGGTCCCGCTGGCTGACTCCCTACGGAGTTCTAGTAGCGCGCGCATGCTCACTTCCATGAATTTGAAGCGTTCGTCGTTTGTCTAAAGAGAGAGAGAGATATATATATATATATAATCTCTTATCTATTAGACAAGTCCGTCCGTCCGTCCGTCTGTGGTGCTGTTTCAGCGGCGAAACCGTAAGAGATAGATAAAGAGAATATTTAGGTTATAAGTTAAGGATAGTCTGATAAGACTACAAACCGGATTTGAGTAACGTACGTAACGTAGCACTTCCGGTTTTCGAGAAATCACGAATTTTAAAGGAAACCACACAACATCTCCGAAGTTCTCAATTAATTAAATACATTTTTTTTTTTAAATCAGGTTTTGTTGAACATTTGGTTCACTGGTTTGCTAGTTAATGATATTAGTGCGGTAAATTGATTGACGAGCAGACGAATGTAACCAAAGCCACAAGTTTGTCAATACTGATTCCGCACGAATGTCATACAAATAGAAGTTTTTCAACAAATTTGCGAGACAACAGTACCTATACCTTATTTAAGCAATGATAATTGTAAAAATTAAAACTACATATTTCGTTTCTTTTTCGATGTTTTATTATTAAAGTGAAATAAAGGTAAAGATTAAAAGCGCTTCCAAGGGGTTCAACCGAAATTAAAAACGAAACCGTTAACGGCGCACGGCGCCATGTAGAGAAGCGTGCGGTAAAACGTTTTACCGCACACTCCGTTGTATGGCCCGTAATTTTGAACATTCGTACAATGTATACAACCTCCGTAAATGCATTTTTTGAGCAAATGTGTTGAAAATAACATATACTCACGATGTACAGTTTCTTCCACTGTTCAAACCATTCTCTAAGTGTCTGAGCTATGTCGTGAGCAACGCCGCTGCCGCCGGCCGAAGCAACAATTGTACCCCCGCATCTGAAACCAACAAATATTACATTGTAATCTATACTTATATTAAATCTGTAGAGAGGTCAATTCTGTACATAAAATATATTTTCAAAATTACTATCAGGGGGTGATTAGTGATCGATACTGATGCCAAAAATGCAATCAGTAAAATTTTTGTCTGTCTGTGTGTATGTTCCTTATAGAAACAAAAACTACTCGACGGATTTTAACGAAGCTTGGTACAATTATTCTTCATACTTCTGGGCAGGTTATAGTATACTTTTCATCACGCTACAATCAATAGGAGCAGAGTAGTGACGGGGAATGTTGGGAAAACGGGAGAAGTTACTGCATTTTTTAAGCTTCTGTCGCGTGTGCAGCCTTAATGGTTAAAGTTACATAGATATCATGTATGACGGAAATATTCTACATAAAATTGTCTAAAAAATATCTCGCAACAGCATATGTCTATGTTTTATGGTTGACTCACAATAACACGTGTAACTCCTGATAGCTTAGCAGTTCGGAGCATTCTAATTTAAAAAAGTTAACATTATTATCTATTTAGGTATAAGAAGAATGTCATTATGTATAATAAAAGCCTGAGAACAAAAACTATAGTCTACACTTCAAGTCTACACCGAAGCGAAGCGAGGGCGGGCTACTAGTATATAATAATTTCTTTCATCATTATTATCATCATCAGCCTATCAATGCCCCCACTGGAGGCACAGGCCTTCCATATAGATGGAATAGGGAGACCAGGTCATAAGTCATGACCATGGCTTATATACCAGTTAATTTTCAAACCTAAATCGTCAAGTACATTAGGAGCGTTTTATTTAGGTTTGGCTCTACCTTAACCATAAACAAACCGGTTTTCCTAAAAAGCGAAATCAAATCGGTTTTGAATCAATTTAGCGGTTTTAAAGTGTTACATTTCGCTCTGACGGCTGAAATAAATACAAGACTACAAAATGAATAACTTGATTCACTAGACGCTAGCAAACGTGTCAATAAATGCATCAATCTCTGAGCATTAACAAGTTGTGACTTGATTAGTTCAAACAAAACAAACTTCAAGCGATGCCGACGCGTGCTCGCTTGTATTTTTATATAGAAATACATACTAAACATCCATGACTGGAGTACAAATGCTCGTATTCATCACATAGACATCTGCCCCCGGAATTCGAACCCGGGAGCTCTCAAATCGGAGCCAACATGAAACCCGGCGTACAAACCACTCGACCATGGAGGTCGTCCAAATAAAATAATGTCGTAGTAACAATTAACGCGTTGCGTAGTCCTGTTGTCCTGCCCAATAAAAACCTAAAAAAATACTAAAACCAATTGCAACGCCACCTTACGGGAACAGCTATGAATATATTATTTTCTTGTAAGAACCTTCATAAAAATATAACAATAACTTAAAAAAAAGATGCATGATATCGGCAAAGACATTCTCAAGTTATTGTGTCCAGGGAAAATAGGGACATATTTTCAATTAAGTACATATACATTTAGTTTTAATGTTGGAATAATTTTCAAAAGCATCCTGTGCAAAACAGCTTTTAGGAGTTTCCCGTCGCCGTGGACCAAACACTCCGACAATAAACCTCCGGTACCCACTACGTAGAGTCGATTTACGAACGCAGCGCAACACGAACATAAATTACGGTAGCGCAGTATCAAATATCACAACAGCGCAGAGCAGCGATAATGTATCAATTAAACATGCGCATGATTCACAGATTATCGGGGGTCGACGACCCGGGCAATTGTTGGGCCGGAGAGATGCGTCGGGTCACTGGGATAGAGTAGGGGTGCTCACAGATCTAATAAAAAAGTATGGATGGAGCGCTGCGGACAAAAAAGTGGCCCAGACTTAGATTAAAACAAAAAGGGTAGATACGGTACGCTCATACTTGCATCAAACAAAAACTGATCCCACGGCAGCGCGAACGGGACGGCGAGATCCGCGTCACTGCATTACCGACCCGAACGAAACAGCACGTAAAGTTTCAACGGCAGCGCGAACGAGATGGCGAGATCCGCCTCACTGCACTACCGACCAATCACGCGACCAGTACACGACGTCACTACCGAATAAGATTCAAAACAAACAGCATTTTTTATGAAAAAATATATTTTATAGTACTTACGAATGAAAAGTGATGCCGTGGGTTTTATTTTTAGTTCTTGAGCAATTTGAGCACTTTTTAAAAACACACTTAGGCATTGTTTTATCATATAAACACAAAATATTAGCAATATTTCTTTTTGGCGTTCATATGTACGTCGTTTGCATGTCAAGTTGTGACTAAAGCGATTAGGGTCGTGGACCACAATTCATGCGGATCACTTTTGTGAGGCTAATGCCGTATCTACCCTTTTTGTTTTAATCCAAGTGCCCAGGTTAAAACTAAGGCTTGCCGTGTCCATACACAAATACACGCAAACAGGTATAACGAAACTAAAACCAAATATGTCAGTCGAGCAACAACTTTTTTATTTGATCTGAGGGGGTTGTGGTTAAATATGATGGTATAGAGCTGGAGTGTAGTATAATATGAAATAAAAGTTAAAATATACGTGTAAACAGGAAAGTATATTGTTAGGAAGTACGTCAAAATTTTACATCAAATATTTACAAAATGCCAACGTCAATTTTAAGTTTAGAATTAAGATTGTAGCAAACAGTATTACAACAGGGTGCTGTGAAATGTATCTCTTATCTATTAGACAAGTCCGTCTGTCTGTGGTGCTGTTTCAGCGGCCAAACCGTAAGAGATAGATAAAGAGAATATTTAAATTATAAGTTAAGAATAGTCTGATAAGACTACAAACCGGATTTGAGTAACGTAGCACTTCCGGTTTTCGAGAAATCAGGTTTTGGTGAACATTTGGTTCACTGGTTTGCTAGTTAGTTATAAAATCGCAACGAATGAATCGATTTCGATGATTTAAAAAACCATATTATTTAAAAATCTTATTAGATCATTATACTGTTAATTTTGAGTTGATTTGCTGACTTAGTAATGATCCTCATTTCGTAAAAAAAAGCAGTGACAGTAACTGCAAGCAAGCAAGAACGTAAAACACCTTTTATGTGAATGTGGGCCTCTTATCCACAAACGAAGTATTATTCATCTTAAAAGAAATATACGCCCAGAGAACACGGCGTAAGGATAGAGAGATCGGTTTTTGTTTAACTAGTAAAACCTAGAAGCTATCGTGCTAAAAAACATACTTTGTAAAGTACTTTGTGGGTTACCTACAATGCGAAGAGATGAAGCTGCCTTGCAGCGTAAGGCTAGTAAAAATTCGACTCAGCCGTCAGAGCCGTGGTAGCATAATAGGCAGTGCATTCGCCGGATAGCGAAGGGTGCGATTTTTTTCTAGTAAAACTTTTCTTTAGATTTAAAGATACTTTAATTTGGTGGTGAGTCACAATAGATCTTTCAGGTCACAATTGCTACATACAGTTATCCTGTCTGGACCCAGTTAGGGACACGAAAAAAGTATCGATACTTTGTGGTATCGAGTACTTTTCCTTTCGATACCGATACTTTTGTACTCGATACTTGGTTTTCGATACTTCAACTAAATAACTAAACTAAAAAAAGTATCGATACCTTTAAAAATTTGGATAAGCGCCTTATATTAATGGCAACGCTAGTGATCTAGTTGAATCATAGCAAACCTTCTAAAACATTCGATTGCGTTGATATAATTGGAAGCAGAAGCAATCTAGTGTGTCCTGAGACTTACGTACTTGAGTAATTCACGTTTAGTTTTGCAGTTGATTATATTAACATTACACGTTTTTAAGAGTATCTACATTGTTTATAAGGTCCTATGAAATATACTCGATACTTTGAAGTATCGATACTTTTGTTTCAATACTTTTACGAGTACCATACTTTTTTTCCGATACTACTCATGAGTACACATCGATACTTTCTATTTGATATCGTGTCCCTAGACCCAGTTCCACTACCCGTGTTACCTTAGTAACTGCAGCCAACAATACACTACAGAAACATGATATTTTTACTAAAGTGTTCTGCAAGGTTGAGGTCACTTCCCCAAAAGTTTGACGCCTTTCAAACTAAGACTCGAGAAACTTTAGACTGATAGCAACCCTATACCAGCTTCACTCGCTCTTTGATACACAATCCTTATCATATATACGGGTAAAGGGGATAATTGAATGTGACAAGTTGTAGACTGTTAACATAAATTACTAGGGCAAATTGTTGTAACCGCATACCATTATTTTATGGGGGGGTCTTTAAAATGTCTACACAATTAGTAGCGTCAAGGGATACGCGTATTCTACATTTTTACTTTCGAGTAAATTGAATGCCTATATTCTCTCACTCAAACTCAGAACTAATTACTTTTGAATGAAGTCAAATATGTGACTTTTAGCAAATGCCATATTCCGTTTATCTGAAACTGTTTAAGTGATTTCTTCTTAAACTTGGCTGTCTGTGAAGATCCTCGTAGATTTTTGCATCAACGCAATAAGTAATAAATCTTGAACCCATTCAATAAAGTTGAAATTTGACTAAAGATTTTCATAACAATTATCATGAATGATTATTGTGTTTTCTGTTGTTTCGTCTGATTTTCAAATACCACCGGTTAAGGAATGTGAGATAAGTAGACAAATATTTTAAGACTGTCGATGAAAACCACGCAGAATGCCAGATTTGCGAAGAACCTATTCTCGAATTGGGTGCTTACCTCTGCGTTGCAAAATCATTCAAGTTTGAGTTGTTCTTCATCAAATACAATTATTAATTAACATATTGATTAGGTTTTTTGGTTTTTAACCGCTTACTCGAACATGCGCATTCGCACATTCACTTTCACTTTGAAATTTGAAATTTGCACTTTCGCGCTTTTGCACATTCGCGCATCTATCTACATCATACACACACTGCATCATATCGCTTGTCCGAAGCTTACAAAAAAATGAATGAGAGTGTTGATATCTTCCATGACTCTTTTCTACGATTTAGGACTAAAGTTTCTGAGTTATTAAGAGATGCGTAGGCAAATTTTATTTTTATTTATGTCGTTAAATTTGTTACATCGAATCTAATATATAAAATTCTCGTGTCGCGGTGTTTGTGGTTAAACTCCTCCGAAACGGCTTTCCCGATTCTCATGAAATTTTGTGTGCATATTGGGTAGGTCTGAGAATCGGACACATCTATTTTTATTCCTCCTAAATGTTAAGGGTAATCCTCCCCTAATTTTTTTTTTAATTTTAGATATTTATTTCAATTTTTTTATGATACATCATTTAAAAATACATACAACCCCTATTTTTTATGGCGGTACGAAGTTCGCTGGAACAGCTAGTAATTATATACATTCGTTTTCTATTGTCTATTGTTATTAGTTTCAAAGGCGCCAAATAGTTCATAAATTTCATTATTTATATGTTGTTTTAGTTTGTCTTTCAGATTCTTATGACCATAAAGTTTATTCAAAATGACCTCTGTGGTTTTGAATACAGGCCTTCAATCTGAGCGGCCAGTCTATCGTAGCACGAACGAGGTTCATGTGAATATCGGCGGCTGCCTTAGTCAAGGATGTCTTGAGTGACTCCAAATTGGGATGAGGCTTTGAGCACGCCTTTTCCTCCAAGTGTTGCCATATCTTATAATCTAACGGACTCAAATCTGCCTGGAGGAGGGCCAGTCTTCGTGCCGGATGAAGTCGATTTCACGCGCCGCCAGCCAGTCTTGTGTGCTCTTCGCTCTATGAGCTGGCGCTGAATCTTGTTGGAATACCCAGTGCCTGTTATTGAACATGGTATGAGAAACAGGTTCCACAAGGTTCGTCAGGACTGTATTTTGATACACAACTGCATTCGTTTTTACACCTTTCTCACAAAAATGTACCTGTGTTAAGCCCCAATAAGAAACTCCCAACCATACCATGAGCGAGGATGAAAAATGACCTCGTTGAACACGCGGAATACGGTTTCTCGCTTCTTCACTACTGTGTGCGTACCTTATCATTTTGTTTGTTGTAGCTCTCTTCTACGGTAAAAAAAAATCATTCAAACATCCGAAAAAAAACTTTCCCGATATTTTTTTCCCGCGTGCCGCTTCAACAAAGCGCGGCATCTCTTCAGTCTCAGGTCCATTAGACAAGCATTCAAACGATGTCCTGTTTTTCTTCGATATGCCCGAAGCCCTAAGTCTTCATTTAACACCCTTTTCACCGTGGTTCTGCTTAACCCCATCTGAAGGGCCAACAGTTTCTGCTTACGTTTGGGATTTCTTTGAATTCGCGCCTTCACAGTTTTTATCACTGCTGGAGTCCTAACAGACCGAGGGCGACCACTTCTTAACCTGTCATCTACAGTAGAGTCTTCGTTGTATCGTTTGATGGTACGACAAAGGAATCTTTTGGTTATATTAAAAATTTTCAGTATGTCAAAAATTATAATTGGCGCGTAACCGCAACGATACAACGCAATAACTGCAACACGGTCATCTTTAAGCGTCCACTCCATATTTAAAAATGAGTAAAATTCTAAAATATATACATTTTTATTTTCATGAACGATTCGAAATTCGAATTCAATAAACTTTTTTGTGGCCAGCATTCTAAAAGCAAAGTTTTTACTGTGCGACAATACTTATGACCTGACTGTGTATTTATGTTTGCATATCTCATTCACCTGTCGGCATTGTACGATGACAGATCTTAGAGATGGCACCGCAGCCATCCTTCCGGAGGCTCCAGTACCAGTGCCGGGTTTACCTTTCCACGTGTACTCGCCTTAGATCCAGACACAAATGGTCCATACACCCACTGTAATGTACGTTTGATGTATGTGTGTATATCTCACTCACCTGTCGACGCTGCAGTCTCTGACGACAACATAGCTCTTGGGGAAGACGCCGCAGCCGGCCTTGCGGAGGCTCTGGCCTCAGTAACAGTGGCGGATCTGTCTCTGCACGTGCACCAATTCGCCTACATGCAGACATACGCAGTCAATACACCCACTGCAATATATGTATGTATATCTCACTAACCTGTCGACGTTGCAGTCTTTGACGACAACATAGCTCTAGGGGAAGGCCCCGCAGCCATCCTTGCGGAGTCTCCGACCCCAGTACCAGTGCCGGGTTTGCCTTTCCACGTGTACTCGCCTTACATCCAGACACAAATGGTCCATACACCCACTGTAATGTACGTTTGATGTATGTGTGTATATCTCACTCACCTGTCGACGCTGCAGTCTCTGACGACAACATAGCTCTTGGGGAAGACGCCGCAGCCGGCCTTGCGGAGGCTCTGGCCTCAGTAACAGTGGTGGATCTGTCTCTGCACGTGCACCAATTCGCCTACATGCAGACATACGCAGTCAATACACCCACTGCAATATATGTATGTATATCTCACTAACCTGTCGACGTTGCAGTCTCTGACGACAACATAGCTCTTGGGGAAGGCCCCGCAGCCATCCTTTCGGAGGCTCCGACCCCAGTACCAGTGCCGGGTTTGCCTTTCTACATGAACCAATTCGCCTACATCCAGACACAGGTGGTTCTCGGATTCACTGCTGAAGTTGTATATCGCTGTAACAAATAAAATATCTTTATTATACCTATGTAGTTAAGAAAAGGAATTATATGTCTATGTGTACGTGGATGAGTTTAAAAAAAAGGAAAACCAAAAAAGAAATTAAATGAAATTAATGATGAAACATTTAAGGAATTATTATAAGTATTCATTTATTTAATGGAGAAGAAGGGGTAATCATTAAAATTACAAAAAAACCGAATGTCACATGGTAAGTATACAATTTTAAATCTTCGAAATAAGGATCAGACCATCATCGCTAAAACTAGGGAAGATACAAACATATTTCTTTGTCGTACTATTCGTTAGTGGAATTCTTTACCCGCGCAAGTATTCTCTCCTTCCTATAATCTGGGGTCCTTTAAGAGAGGCGTGAAGAAGCATTTTTGCAGGCCGGCAAGGTGAGGATGATTGGTGTAGCAGTTTTAAACTGCTGTACCAGCTATCTTCGCGTTTGGACTTCATTACCACTTAGCATCAGGTGGGGGTAAAACTGTACTTCCAGGGCCCAAAAGGTGATACTTGTTTTTTTTTTAGAAAAGGTCTTTTTAACAGAATTATTTTTTTCTGGCGCTTCGCCGGCCGCTGCCGCGGCACGCTCGCTTTGCTCGCTCGGCTCGCGCGTTATGGTCACAACACTAACCTAACCTAGTGTGAAAGAATCACCACTTGATAAGAAAAGTAAAAAAGTGCATAAGTGTGACATTTTTTTTTAATAATGTGGTTAACAGAAACCTTTTTAACAACAAAAATGCGAAATTACAACCAACAAAACTGTGAAGTTTTTACTTTTGGGCCCTGGAAGTACAGTATATCCCAGGTGGGGTAGAGTCATTTGCCTACCTGTATATATATAAAAAAAAAAAATTGAAAAGCAACTTCAATGCATACCCCAAAAGCTTGATCGGTAAAAGTATTTACACCATTATTCTTATACGCCTAACAATTTATATAATTCATTATCATTATCAGTAATTGTATAACTGACCCCGAGCAACCGTTTCGGTGTTTATCCCGTCTTCTTACTTACATATATCAATTAGTGGCCTAATAAATTGATATCTAACCTACTTTCTAAGCTGTTATCGCAGCGACACATTAAGCTACATTTCGTGACATTTATTTATAGATAGTGGGAACAAAACGTATTTTAAGCTTGTAGACACATAAATCACATTATTCATACTGTGAAAGTCAAAAGGACCCCGCACTTAGTGTTGGGTAGGACACGACTAGAAAAAGAGTTTGTAAGAGTAGCCTCTTTTTTGTACTGAACCAGTACAATGTCCCACTTCAAATGAGGCGAGGCGTACTAAAGCTCGGCAATACATTTGAAGTGACGAGTACAAATATGACATTGAGGCGTACAGAAGCTCGACATTACGTTTGTGTGCACGAGTAGCACCTCCTCTACGCACTATCAATCTTGCTGGATCCAGCATGCAGGACAGCGCTATATACGTAAAACATATAGATGGATAGTGCGTAGAGGACTTAAATGAAATGTCATGCCTCGCTCTCTCTCTCAGACTTACGAAGAGTGAGTGAGTAACGAGACGCGACTATCGCGACATTTAATGTGAAGTAGTACATTTTAAAATTTTGAGCCGCTCTTACAATTTGGCGTCATGTCCGGGACAAATGTACCGCCTCTTGTAAGTCCTACTCAACACTACCCGCACTATTTCGCAAATGGATGGTAAACAACTGCTTGTAAGTATATTATCCCTAATATGACAAGCTGTCAGTGTTCCCGTTGCCTGAAATTTATGATATTTGAGTTCGACGGGGTAAACTAAAAGGCGTTGATTTTTTTTGGTGAAGTTCTCCCGTTTTAGGGAAGGCAAAGGGAACAATGCCCATACAGCCTAGTCTTTAATTAAATTAATCTTCTTTTTGTTTTTTCCATTAGAATGTCGGTGTGACGCATTCTAATGTTTCTTGGAGTGTTTGGCAGGAAATGTATCGAGTTGGCTTTTTCGATAAGCTTCTGTGAGGTAGTCAACACTACAATAAAATTCTCAAATCCACTTGACCGGAATAGCGTATATTTTAACGATTCCACTAATTCTTCAGTTACGCAGACGGTTGTTACACAAAACCACACCAATTTTATTTCACAATATCCACTATGAACGAATTTAAGAATAATTAAAATAAGACGCCAACCGCACTCGATGAAATCCCGCCAAAAAACCTCCTAAAAGGCGTAATTCATGTTATATTGCCAGTCGTCGGACTCACCCGTAAAGGGGTCCAACTCCGCACTACTTAGTCAACATTTGAAAAAAGCAATTGTTTAAAAGTTCTCTCTGCTTTTTCTGCTCCGACGACCATAATCTCTCTGACCATTCATCATCATCATCAATGAAATGAAAAGTCATTTATTCAGTCTGGCTGTTATAAGCACTTGTGAAGGTCACGAAGCTACGCCATCGGTTCGCAAAACTACGGCGGGAGACCTTGTACTGAGAAGAACCGGCAAGAAACTCAGCAAGGGCTATGTTTTTCTCCCTGTATTGTTATATATACAGAGTCGTCAAGTTGAAAAATGACTTCAGAGATACGTCTGAAGTCACCTTCTATTACATCATTTAGAATATAAATATATAGTTACAATAAATTTTATAGCTAACATTATATTTAGTATATAGGATGCGGCATTAGATAGGTATTGTACCTACCTTACTGTTATGAAAAATGACTAATACCCATTAAATAACAAATTATAAGAAATACTATGTCCATGCATTACGATCATTTAGATAATCATTAACTTTATAATAGCCCTTATTCATAAGAGTATTTTTGATCTGAGATTTAAATTTAGTCAGTGGAAGCTCAATCAGATCTAGGGGAACTTTATTAAACAATACAATACTACAACCAAGAAATGAACCTCTTGATTTTTGGAGTCTGAAACATGGCATCAGCTTATTAATGTCCCCACTGCTGGGGTACAGGCCTTGCCTATAGATTGGAACAAGGAGATTGGGCCACGACCCACCAAGCGAGCTCAGTGCGGATTGGCGGGTGCTAACGACTGCAGATGCAGCCGGGACCAACGGCTTAATGTGCCTTCCGAAGCACGGAGGAACTCGAGATAGAAGATTTTTGGTCACCCGTCCAATGACCGACCACTGCGAAAGTTGCTTAAGTTCAACGATCGCAGCCGAACGCGCTAACTACCTGCGCCATCGAGCTCCTCAATCACCTAACTATTATCGTCATGAAATTCTAGGTTTTTTTCTTATAAATAGTTCCGACAGTGAATCCACCTCACCTGATGAAGTATGTTTGATAAAAGTTAACGACAGCACTGTTTTTGCGATAACTATTAAATAAGACAAAAAAAATGGGTGCGTGTACTTATGTAGGCGCGTGAGAAGTTATCCTTCTTTGGCATCGTTTAAAATTAGTTTTTAATTGCATGCAAATAATTAATTACAATAAATTAATAAAAAGTCTGGAAGAGGACACAGTCAATAAAGTTCAGTTTTAATTTGAAAAAATAAATAAATAATCAAAATATTCAATTAAAATCGCTACTGAATATAATTTATTAGAACATATGTGATTTGCACTTGTATGAAACTCAAACACGTATTCCGAATATACAAACTAGAAACATGTGGATAAATATTATAAATATGAATACCTATAACTGTTACTTTATTACAAAAAATAAAGATGTGGTTTTTGGTTCTACTACACCAATGGTCAAGAGATGGCGCTGTAGTCTCCTGAATCGCGCTTTGGTTCCGTTGTTCCAGATTAATAAAATACTTTTGATAGGCCTTCACAATGCAGTCGTTAGCACCCACTAAATAGAGATTCTATTTCTATTTTGTTGGTAGATTTTCTTAATGTGCGGTATACACAAAAGTAGCGTAGACGCTTTAGCGACCAACTTCATGCTGTTAAAATTTTGTGTTACAGTGATGCGCGCGCATCTTATAATTTCACTCTCATCATTTTTTCATAACGCGCCTAAAGAAGTATAACTTCAAAAATGGACCTATCCATAGAATAAAGATACTTCTGCATAATCACTACTTTACAGTAGAGCGATTTGAAGTTTGTAAGATGTAAAATTTGCTGTTGAAATTGTATTTTTATTTTTCTAGCACTTGATCTTTTTATCAATCATTTAAAGCCTTAAGCAGAAAATTATGACGCATTTATTGTTTAAAAAAAACAACATTTAAGGCTCATATTTTGTTATTTAATAGTATCTATGTGATTATGTGAAAATTTACTACGGACATCTTTATGTTATATATTTTATGCATATCAGACCTTATGCTTGGGAAACGTGTCAATATTAAGTGTAGATATAACTTTGTTTTACGTAATGTATAATATACAGGACATATTATGTCCTGTCGCATCACATATTGATAATATGGCGAAGATCCGGCAAAATCGATGAAATAACAAAAATAGAATCAAACATTTAGTTAAAAAGTCTCAGTTTGTAAGAAAACTGAAGCCGTGCAGGCTGCGTTCCTGCCTATCCAAAAGGTACTTGTGCTCCTGACTCTAAATTCTTGGGAAACAAAAACCACATGTACCTTTATTCAATTGCTTTCTTCAAAGTTATATAAGTTTTAGAATAAATGTTTTTACCAGGAAAACATATGCGTCCGTTTCGCCTAAAAGTACAATAATAGTTATTTATTATACAAGAGTGGAAAGTTCCTTTTTAACCGCGTGCTCGATTTGGATGACCGAGCAAGCGAAGGATTCTAAAGTTGAATCACGAGCGCAGCGAGTGATTCTAAATTAGAATCCTGAGCGTCAGCGAGGGAAACAAACGAGCACAAGGTGAAAAATCTTTCCACTCGAGTGCAATACGTAACTTTTCATCCCACCTCAGCGAGGAAATGACAAAATGAAAAAGAAAACAATTTATAATGACAAAATATTTAAGCAATAAAACGTGAAAAACTAGAATGGCGCGAAGCACGCAAATAAAACAAAGAAACCAAGAAGG